TAGTTATACATATACTGAGATTTTGTAAATTCTGGTTTAATAATAGTACTTTGATAAAGCTATTAGCAGCAGCATTAAATAGCGAAACGTCAGTAAAAACAACGACAGTATCGTTTTGCTCTGTTTTATTCACTGGGAAATACAAAAAGAAGCCTTTATTATAATGGATGTCTACTTTGCTTTGTAAATTAAGTCTTATTATATTACGGTATCACTATAGAATCAGCCTAATTCCGCGTTGTTTAAGCACATATACACACAAATGCACACAAAAAATACACAAAAGTTGAATATCAGTTTAAGTAGTCAAAGGTAATCATGATAATTAAGTTCATTCATTCATTCATTCACAGACATGAAAATGTTTATCACGTTTAGAATGACGTTTTTGACGACATTGATTCGACTGACCATTTCTAATGTCATACAATGATTTAGTCTGTTAACATCACTGGTAATAAATAATGTTCTATATGACTTTAACATTTTGAAGATCCATGATGCAGTTTTTAATGATAAATGATGAACTTAAGATTAAACCATTTTGATCGATAATCAATTCATTAATAATAATAATAATAATACTAACGGTAATTATCAACTGAAGTATAAAAATATTAGTCCAAAAATTTGTGCTTAAATCACTTATGTTTATTACAAAAATGACAATAAATTGTAGTTGTTTTCTCTGTTATTGTGAGATTTATCTCATACATTTTGCCTGTATACACATGAAAGTGCTAGGCATAAACTGTGAATATCATTCATTCTGCGCGTGAATTAGCACATAATACATCCCATCCATATATTAGCACTGTCTGTGTGCACTCAAGATATTTTTATGATGTTTTAGACAAATTAAGCCCACCCCTCCCCTCCGCTGTGTAGTGTTTATTTGTGATAATAGCTACAACATTCGTTTAAAGCGTGATATCAACAATGGTTATTGACAGTGAAATAGAAATCTGGATTTTTAATGTAGATGACGTCAAAAATCTACGCCGAAATCCATAGTCGTGCGTACTGGCATCAATACAAATTGTAACGGAATTTGTTATCTTCATACAGCGTAATTATGTACACTCATCTCTTTTTGATGTGGTCGTGTTCTCTGAGTTAGATGGTTGATTTGCGAAGATTTCATCACCCTACTAGGTAACATCTTCAGTGCATACACTTCAATTTGAAGTGAGCTTTTTGGACGTCTTAGTCAAGTGAACAACCCCACAGGGGAATTAGAAACTCAAGTTTATAGAAAATCAACTCACACAAACCAAATACGCCATTACAACAGCAAAAATCCAGTAACACACAAAAGGAATTCCATACAAACACTATTCAAGAGAGCCAGCCAGCGGGGAGATATTGCAGCACTCCCACTTTAAGGAAAATTTAAGAAAAATATCTCATGGACGTCTTCCAAAAGAATGGATGGATATCAACGGAATTTCATCAAAAGACATATACCCCCAAGCCAACATACCAAATCAAATGCCCCCAAGGAAAGCACAAAGGAAATCCCGCTACTATATATAAAGGATATCTCAGAAATCACTACAAAACTCTTCAAACCTTTAGGAATTGACGTCGTACACAAACCAACAAAGTCGCTTCACTCAATTCTATGTCAACCGAAAGACTCAACACCGAAAGAAGACAAAACCAACATCATCTACAAAATAAATTGTAACAACTGCGAAAAACACTACATCGGCCAAAGTGGACGTCCCCTTCGTCCACGCATCCACGAACATAAGCTAGCCGTCAAAAGACATGATATCCACTCCCTCATATCACTACACACAGACAACTACGGACATCAATTCGACTGGGACAACGTTCAAATATTAGACAAAGGAAATAACAAGAATGCTAGAGAATTTTTAGAAGCTTGGCATTCCAGTGGATCATCAATCAATAGACACATCGAGATAGACAAAATTTATCAACCAATAAGAAAGAAACCTCACACACAAAGGGTCAAAGTTCAAGTCAAAGAAACAACCGGTTCCAATACAAGTAACCTAGAAGGTATGAAAACACACACAAACAACCAATCACGTCCAAGGTCACCAGGAGAGATGATTAATAAACTCGTGGAGAAATCTAAAAGCTCACTTCAAATTGAAGTATGCGCTGAAGATGTCGCCCAGTAAGGTGATGAAAGCTTCGCAAACTAACCATCCAGCTCAGAGAACAAAACCACATCAAAAGCATGTTTATATGCACAGAATATTCTAGAATAGTAGTTAATAAAAAGATTAGTGTTTTTAAATAATTTCGTAGCGCTATCCTATCTCATCTTGGGGATACAGAATACGAGATTGATGTCAACGAGGCTTTCAGAGTCATTTACCACATACCAACAAATCTTAACTTTGCCTTAAAAGTTCGTTTACTAAAATATTGCTGTGGCCGATGAAATCCACATCGAGAAGCCTAATTTATGTGCCCAAAAGAAGCTGGTTCAGACATTGTCCTTAATTACCTTGGCCATCTAGGTTCGAACGATCCTCAATTTTTGTAGGAATCTCCCTAAGTTTAGTTGATATTCGATTCGCTATTATATCTTTATTATTATTATTTAAGCGTCGTTAATAAACTGTAATTCCATTGTGATCTTACTTAGTAAATCGATATTATTGAAAAAAAAAAAACACTAATATTGTTAGTGACTACTATTCTAGAATATTCTGTGTATATAAACATATACGTATATAATTGTAAGGCCAGAAGAGGAAATTATCGAAAATGATATTCTTTGCTGAATTATTTGTTTTTTTCTAGATGTCTGAATTGTATCAATCAAGTTGGCAAAGTGGCCGTCGGGCTAGGTGGCTTGCCATCAAACTTGACTGATGCAATTCAGTCTGCACCAAACAAAGTGCTAGACACACTACACTAGTCACTGACTAGTGTTCAATTCAAAGCGTAAAAAGTACAACATAACAGAATACTGCTTGAAAATTGTTAGTCTTTGAAGTAACAATGATAGTTTAGTACCGAATTCTCGTACCGAAAAACTTATCAGAATTCCCTGCTGTTGTCAAATGCAGAATAGTAACAAAAGTGATGAGTTGTCATAAATGATTGTTAAATAAGAGTTACGTAATGGCATGAATAGTTTGATGAATGAGTTGTGCTCAGGGTGTGCCTGGAAACAAAATAATATACAGAATTACACAAGGGTGTTAAGTTAGAAAAATAAGCATACAAACAGAAGTAAGGTCAAATCAAACAAACAAACAAAAGTTAGGTCAAATCAACGGAGTTGTTACCATGAGAGTAGAAGTGGTTGGATAATTTTCTCTTGTATGCATAGTTCTGGTTCCACCAACTGAATGGCTAGGGCTTCTGCAATGCAAAGAAGACGGAATCGTACTGTCTTTGGAAGGTTGTTCTTCACTTTGTAGATTACTTTGAAGGAGGCGTTTGTTGAGATGGAATGACCAGTGTTGACGAGATGTTCGATTATTGCACTCCTTATATGGCCAGTAGTAGCCACGCTGGATAGTGTTCTTTGACGCTTTTTGACAGGATGCGCGTTGAACGACCGATGTACCTGGCTCCACAGAATAACTGCAGCGCTGTTAGCGCTCACTGTGTATTTTGTAGGCACGCCAGTACGCTAGTTAGTCGATGAAACCTAGTCAAACACACAGAAGGACACTCATCATTCACAGCTGTTCTACCGAGAAAAAGAGCCTTGTAACCTATAAACAGTATATAGTGTCTCTTGGGTTAATCGTCTCGTTCTTCCGCATGGATTATTTTACATTACGTCCTGTGGTGTGGAGGTATTCTACAATTGAACATTTGAATCGCACTGTTTGACATGAATCTCCTGACTATTGTCTGCTTAAAACAAGTTGAAACTTTTGGATAACTTTTTATGTAAACGTCACGTGAGGGGTTTGCTCGGCGTTGATCTCTTCCCGGATCAACCTATAAAAGACAGCTAGGGGAACGTGATTACCAAGAAGGAGAAACAAATCAAACAATGGGCTGATCACTTCAAAGGACTCTTTAATTGACCATCACCTGTAACTCGCCCACAAAAATACATGAATAATAGTACGCACAGAACTGCTTGGCAGTGAATACCAATCCTACAAAGAAAGCAGAAATATTAAATGGGATCAAGCTAGTCAATGCCGACTGGGAAGGCAGTAGGACCAGATGGAATTCTCCCCTCCCCAAAGTACTGAAAACGAACCCACAGACTGCGGCAGATGTGCTTATGCCATCACTGCAAAAGGTTTAGAAGGAAGGAAAGGTGACTATCAGTTGGAAGAAGGGCTGGTTACCTTGTCAAGCTACCAAAACAAAAGGCGACTTATCCCTAACTCTACAAAAACCAGCGAGGAATAATCCTCTTGTTGATGCCAAATAAAATACTGATTTGCGTCATAGTGGAAGCACTGGATGCAGAACTCCACCAGACAGGAACAAAATGGCTGGATTCAGGAAAGGTGAACCAAGTTCATATCTAATTGTACCTCTACGCATCACCTGAGAACAGGGTAAAGAATGTCGGTGAAACTCCTCTCCACCTCAGTTTCATCGACGGACAACGTTGACAGAGAAGTAATTTGGAAACTACTTCAACACTACGGCGTACAAGACCGAAGTCTTTATCAATCTCATCCAACAGCTGGCTATGTGATAATGCCACGTGTCGGATGATCCACAACAGAAAACTCAGCGAGGCGTTCAAAGTGAATACAGAATGGAATAAAACAAGGCTGACTGCCGATTATCACCGATGATATTCTTTATTGTGGAGATGCTTTGTTGAAGCCCCCCTATGTTCCACTCGGAATCCAAGGGAAAAATAACAGTATTACGTGAAAGGATATTTTTTACCAATGGAATAATTCCTGCCATATTCGTTGAGTCTGTTCACAGTTTCTTTTAACTCACCTAAATGAATCGATTATTTACCCAAATGTGTTGTTGATTTCCTCCTAATTCTACTTTTATTTTCATTTTATTTTAAGGGACGACAATGCCTTCTCGTTACCAGTGGAGCAATAGCACTTGGTCGACATCATCTTGAAATTGATGGACAGAAAAGTAGTCGAGGTGCTCGTGCAGCTATTGGTATGGCAGAAATGGTCACTTTATATGGCCATTTGTTTGAACAATGTGATCTGAGAACAGCAGCCGTAAGTTTATTTATTTTTGATTCAATTTAACACTGATCACATCAGTAGGTAAGTAAGTAGCATGTTTAAAACAGTAAATATTGTAAGCACATTATATTTTCTACTTTTATTTTGGGCCCTAAGTGGGACATAAGGCTTCGTCAGTACAGCTTCGTCTCACTGAATTTTATGCCGTTTTCTTCCACTGCCACCACGAGTTTCGACATAAGCTTTCATTCCCTCCACAAACTATCTCCTCATGTCATGCCCAGACTCGTGCAAAACTCGTCTATCATTTCGCATACGGGTCCCATTTGAGGGTCTGTTTGGTGTGCATTGTCACTCAATGGCTTAACTCAGTGTATGCTCACTCCACCTCTATTTACTTCTGCAAGCTTGTTGGGCGGTTATTAGTATTTATTGTGACTGTTTCCTTTTGGTTCCTAGAGGAACATAGGGCTTCAGCCACATGTCTCCATTGCTCTCCGTTCTCTGGCAACGTTTTCACCTCGCTCTACGTCAGCCCACATGATTTCATCTCCTCTTCACATCACTTCCTCCATGTTATCCCACCATCGCACTAATGAACAACTCGCCGCTGCCCAATCGGCTGGGTTCCACTCGAGTGATGGCCTGGAGTGTGATGTCACTCACTTGATGGTTTGTTTTCTCACAGTATGACCAATCCACCTCCATTTCTTCTTGCATATTTGTTGCACAGTTGGTTCTGCTGCGTTGGTTCGTTCATTGTCAGAGATCCTCCCTGCTGCTGATCTTTTCTGACCGGTCATCTGATCTTGAGTAGCATTGAGCGAGGACAGCTGTTGATGAAGGTGTGTAGTTTGTCCGAAGTGCTGTTCATAATGCGAGGCCAAATCTCTGATCCGTATAGTCAGTAGTACTAAATTGACATTGCAGTTGAAAATCCAGATTTTATATTTCATGATGAATGTTGGTCTCCATACAGACTTGAGAGTAATGAAAGCTTGCCTGCCTTGCTTTCACTGATCCTCGCTGCTTTGATATCCTCATCAGTTCCGTCCGCCTGTAGTTGAAATGATGCTTCCCAGATAAGAAGGTAGCTAAAAGAGGTTGCTTATTTCGGATTTCTCCATTTATGCAGGCTGATTGTTGTCTGTTGTTATTGCTGTTTGCCAGCAATCCACATTGCTACATCTGTCTTCTCTATGTTCACCTGAAGTCTTATCTTCTCTGGATGCTTCTTCTGCCAACTTCTTGCTTTTCACTTGCATACCTTCTGCTTTGTGGAAATCAGACATATATCATCGGTGAAGTCCAGATCCTCAAGGCTTTCTGTGGGGACAGTAGATTGTTGTTTTCTTTGCTATCACTTGTTCCTTATAGTTGGCCATATGATCTTCAGTGTTGAGCCAGACAAGGCAGATATTAACAGAAGTCCAAAGCCTGTTGAAAACGTCTTTCTTTAACCAAAAGCAATGATTTGACATTAATGTTAAACTGGAATCATATCTGTTCCTTAGGCTGAGTTCAGTAGATTTGTACGGTGATTTTAGATTAATAAATTTATATTTTGCTTCTCACATCTTGACTTGTGCGTCGGTGGCACAGTGGTTAGGACTCTCGCCGATCATGCAAATGGTCCGGGGTTCGAGCCCACGCTGACGCACACCTGATATCTACGGTCGGCCTGCGAATTTTGGGCTACCGATATCCATGCTGAAAATTCCACACTTGTACCAAAAATACAGTGTGGAATCAAGCTGTAATCAAAAATAAGATAAAAAATAAAAAATAATAGTTTTGACACTGTCATCTGTGCTTCCAATAGTTGAAGGATATTCATGATATTCTACTTGGCAAGTTCTTGTCAATAGCACACAAGCCAAACCACATTCTCATAAACTTAATCTATAAGCTTTTTGTGACTGATATGTAGAACAATTATATATTTTTAAAACATTTTTTTTTCCTTCACGTTCCCTAGTGGAACATAGGGCTTCAAGCTGGTGGCTTGAAGTTTCTGTAGCAGTATGGTTACTTTACAGGATGGGGTCGCTAGCTTCATGCCCAACCTTTCCTCTTAAGCAGCATTATTTCTGGATCAGCGAGGTAAAGGAGTGCGCCGGCCGAGGATCGAACCCCGGACCATGTGCATGGTCTGCGAGCGTCCTAACCACTATGCCACGACGCACAGAACAATTATATACGAATGTAAAAAAAAAGTCAGGTCTTCCGTATCATTATTAAGATTGAGGAGTTTCAAATCAATCAGACTATAAAATAACGGCTAGTTTAAGGTAACTATGTATTATTACTTCGAATATGATATAGAACTTCAACAAAACATCTCCAATTTGTCTTGTCTTTTGCTTTCCTCTTCAGATGAGCCGACGATATCCCATAGTCTCTCATATCCTCCTCCTCCTCCTCCTTTGTAAACGATGTTCTTCATCTCATTCTCGCACCGACTACTCATTCGTCGCTTCCCATTTTGATTCCATTCGAGTGATGGCCTGTATTGAGGGCAATATCATTTGATGGGCTCCTTAATGTATGCGCATTCTATCCATCTCTATTTTCTTCAAATTATTTGTTGATCAATTGACTCTTCATTGGTTCTTGAATTGAATTCTTGATTTTCCCGTCCATTGATTGGACCGAAGTGCTCGGTCTCAGGTTGACATGTCGGCTTCTTGTGCAGATGCTTCGACGATGTCTAGGGATTTGATTTGTATACAATTGGTGGATGGTGGCTAGCAGTGGAACCCAAGATATTGTGCATTTCGTCCTGTTTGGGACTCGTCAGCTGGATGTGCCTGCATTTCTCAGTGAGTGATGATGTTCCCACCGAGGCTTTGGCGTTTGAAACTATGGGCACTGGGTTCGAGCCTCGGTGGGAACATCATCACTCACTGAGAAATGCAGACACATCCAGCTGACGAGTCCCAATTAGGACGAAATGCGCATCCTGGATTCCACTGCTAGCCACCATCCACCAATTTTCTTCATTGGTTCGTTTGTTGCCAGCCACAGTTACTTGCTGATAATTCTTTCTGACTGGCTAGCCATTTGATCTTCGGCATTTGGCCAGCCAGCTAATGAAGGCGGTAGCTGTTGATAAAAGTTTGTAGCAGCCTGTTGGAAATCGTCTTTGTGACGCACTTCTCACTCCTCCTCCTCCTCACTCACTGCCTGACTTCATATTTTTGTGTTGAACATGATTCGAACGAATCTTGTTGTTTATACCAGCTGGCTGGCTGAGTGAGTCAGTGGAGCGTATCTTGCCTTTCCGATCCCCACTGACTGACTGACTGGCTGGCTGGCTTTCACATCTTCATCCGTTTCGTCTATATCCGTGGTTGGAACCTTGCTTCCTGGTCAGATAAGTGAAGTCAGGAAGTAACCTCTGTCAAATCTCCCACGTTGATGGAGACTGGTGCTGGTTGATGTTGTTGTCGCTGTTCGTTAATTAGACTCATCACCTCCGTCTCCCCCTACTCTATGTTCACTTGGAGTCCTGTCTTCGGTGCCTGCTTCTCTAGCCAGTTTGATTAGGGTAGGGCAGCTAGCCCTACGTCCAACCTTCCCCTTTCATTTACAGCTAGGGACCGGCTAATTATTATTATTATTATTATTGTATCCTTTAGTTCCTAGAGGAACATAGGGCTTCAGCTGCGCACCTCCATTGCCTTCGGTTTTCTGACAACTTTTTCACCCTGCTCCAGGTCTGTCCACATGCTTTCATCTCCTCCTCGCATGACCTCCTCCAAGTCACCCTTGGACGACCAACTCGCCGGCTAAAATACCAGCGAATTAGTAATCTAGGCAAGGTTAGGTATCTATCTATGTCAAAGCTTAAGGTTAACTCTACAAGGCTTAATTAACATGCTCGTTTCATCACATCCAAGAAAATCAGCTGAATTCAGCAGCTCTCCATTGAAGGATAGATAGTCTTCTCAAGCTAAGACTCAAACCTAACTAACACCCATCGTTTTGAACGTCAACGCTTTGTCCACTAGACTTTTGATTCATGAATGTGATTGCGAATTATTGATTTTATACTTGTTACCTCTTATTGACACATGAGAATCGCATCAATCGGCCTTATTTTGCTATAGTGAAGTAAGATACTGTACATATCATTCATAATATCTGAATATATTATATATCAACACTAAACTCTCACCACAACTCTATCGAAAATGATGTACACCATGTGACATTAAAAAGCTGGGATTTAAAATTAACTAATAAAGCCTAATAATATCGTTTGTGACCTCCATTGTTGTGACCTACAAGTCACTCCTGAATCAAAAATAATAATAATAATAAACAATCCATAAAAATGACACCACGAATTTATAAGATTATAAAAACTAATGACAGAAGTTTAATACGCATTTGAAAAATGCGCGCCCCAGTGACCTTGAGTGATAGACAGATAAATAGAACAAATTGATCATTGATTATCTTTGCGTAATTCCTTCCCTCGAACGTATTGATAAGCCATGGAAACATGTGATCCAAACAAACAGTGCACAACTAAGGAAACATTCAGTACACTTTAAAAAAAATGATAAGTGCATGAATAGAAAAAAAATGCAATCAATGAAAATCAGGCCATCATTCGATCGGTCCAATCAATCGACGGGGAAATTTAAAATTCAGTTAAATAGTTAATGTGACCTGTTGCACAAGAAGTGGCTGAGTGTCGTGACCTAAGTTGTCTAGTGGATAACACTTTGGCATTTGAAACTATGGGCACTGGATTCGAGCCTTGGTGAGAACACCATCACTCACTCACTGGGGAATGCAGACATGGACATTTGGTGGACGAGTCCCAAATAGGACGAAATGTTCATTACCCTAGTTTACACAGCTAGTCACCATCCATCAATTAACTTCGAATATAAGAAGACTTAATATTATATACAAATCTCTTTATCTACAAATATGTTAAGAGACCAATGGAAAATGATAATTGAATGAACCAACTTTATTGAATATAAGAATAATTACTTATGAATTAGAACAACAAGACATTATTACTATTATATATATTTCTCGAGTTCTGAGTGGATATAACGGCTTGAACAAGACATCTCCAATTCAACTTGTTCTGGTTTACCCTCTTTAAGTGGCTAATGACTGCCGATAAACTCACATTTTTTCTTCATATGGTCTCCACCATGTCACACCCAGGTGGCCAACGCTGGACAGCCTGGCGAGCATTGTCGCTCGGTAGTCTCTTCCTCCCATTCATCACTATGCTCTTAGGAATATTTAATTTTCTTGTTGGTAATTATTTCTGGCGGGCCATTCGACCTTCAATATGTAGCCAGTGAAGGGGCAGTTGTTTAGCGAAAGTTTGCAGTACTCTCTTGGAAATGCTTTTCGCGATGCACGCGCAGTGCACGTTTCTGACCCATTTAGAAGAACTGACTGACTGGCTGGCTTAACATTTGTGTTGAAAATTCGAATTTCGTTCTTTATGAAGAAGGATGACTGTATAATATTTCGAAACCGATTTCAGAGTGATGAAAGTTTGTCATGCTTTCCCAATCCTAGCTTCGACATCTTCATAAGTTCTGTCACTTGTAGTTGAAACATTGTTTCCTGGATGAATGAAAGAAGTGATCTGTTTCAAATTTCTACCGTGGACAGTGACTGGTTAGCTGTTGTCGGTTGGTCGGTTATTTTCATCATCTCTGTCTTTACTAGATGATTTTGAAATCCTGTCCTCGCTGCTTTTACTTCAAGGCAAAAAGATCTGTGGGCATGTATATTATAAGACAATGCAAGTCATTGGAAAACTGATACTGCACAAATAAATTGTGAAAAAATATACATATTCCGAGTTGACCACTTTTAGGTAGATATCAGACACATAAAAGATGACGTTTATTCACTAATGATGTGAGCATAAATCAGAATTCTTGTAAAACAAAAGATGATATAACCAATTAAGCTTAAAAGATGAGTTATCAAGATACCGGAACACTAACTTCCGCTTCATTTTGAATAGATAAATTAGACAAAGCAATAATAATAAGAAGAAGACGTAATTTGTTTGAATCGTGTAATCATGCATTTGTGCAACACATTTTGAACATATTAGATGGTTGAAGGCAATCGGAAGGGAGCCTTGGTGGGACCCATGGTTTCATGCTAGTTGGCACTCATCAGCAAGGCGTATCTGCAACCTTAAAGGAACTCTTGTCTCTTCTGAGATACGAACCCACTTCACATAGTGAGTACTGCAGTCACAGACGTTTACACTGAGCTATTTGGGCTGGCACGGAATTGACCCCCTGTAGAACCAACTATATTGGATACTTTGATTGGGCATTAGTAAACTAGTGTGATATATGTCTTTGACTGCAGCACTGGATGGCACGGGCTTGAATCTCAGAGGGGACATGAATTCCTTCAAGTTGATTGCAGATACGCCTTGCTGACTGACTAGTGAGTGTCAATTGGCACGAAACCTAGGTCAGATGTGGCTTCCTGTCGTCGATTACCTCCAACCATCTAATATATCATCAAATCAATGTGCACCATGATGGTGAGCTATCTAGAACGGTGGCCATATTGCAAACCTGACTGATAGAATTGAGCCTGCACCAAACAAAGGATCAGACTTTTGATGTGGTCCTCTCCTCTGAGCTGGATAGTTAATTTGCGAAGCTTTCATCACCCCACTAGGCGACATCTTCAGCGCATACTTCCATTTCTCCACGAGTTTATTAATCATCACTCCTGGTAACCTAGGTCCTCGTGACTGTTTGTTTTTGTGTGTTTTCACACCCTCTAGGCAGCTACTTTTATTAGAAATGATTGTTTCCCTGACTTGAAGTTTGACCCTTTGTAGGTGAGATTTCTTTCTTATCAGTTGATAAATTTAATCTATCTCGATATGTCTATTGATTGATAATTCACTGGAATACCAGGCAACCTTCTAATAGTTCTCCAGCATTCTTGGTGTTACCTTCGCCTAATATTTTAATGTTGTTCTAGTCGACACAAATTAACCACCATCCAGCTGGTCAGAGAACACAACCATATCAAAATCATCCACCTGAGCTACAAAAATCTTCTCTATCATATCTAAAAGGACTAGACACATCGCACTAGTTACTAGGGTCCAATCAAATTAGATTCCAAAAAATCTTATCACACATGGATTTGTCATAGGAATGAATCTATATGAAATTAATAAAGAGTTAAGACATGGGAAAATAGACCACTTAGGTCAAGTTAAAAGAACGCATCGAAGGTCAAAGTGACAATGAAGACTACTAAACCAAATAAGTGAGGTAATCGTACATCTCTCCTGGCTAATATCAAAACAAAATTTATCAAAAAAGATTTACTGTGATGAGGAATTGTTGCTTTGAATGGATAAAGGTGGTTTCAACTTCCTAATTGGTAGCCAGGGCTTGCACAAACTTTAGGATATGCTCTCTCTCCCTCTCTCTTTCTCAAACACGTCTTATGGATAGATAGGTTTAAAAGATGCGTAAACATCAATTTTATGTATTGTCACGCACTTATAATATGTTTGGCAATAGAGGAGCTAGGTGTCCCATTCTCACCATTGATGGGTTGTAGTGCTTCAATTTGCTTCTGACGACAGCCTTTTTACGTGCAGAGATCAATGATTACTCCCTATGTATATGTGGCTACACGTACATGCAAACTGATAAATATAAATTTGGTTTTAAATTGTTTGACAGAGATTGACTCTAAGAATTTCAAGAAACTAGACCTTAACTGTTTGTCTATTATAATTTGAAAGTATTCAAGATGTCTTACTGATTATGAGAGAAATTTGAAAGAAACAACATCATTCATCTGCCTACCTAACTACCTGGGAAGCATCGTTTCAACTACACGCGGACGGAACTGATGAGGACATCAAAGCAGCGAGGATCAGGAAAGCAAGGCAGGCAAGCTTTCATTACTCTCAAGTCTGTGTGGAGACCAACATTCATCATGAAATATAAAATCTGGATTTTCAACTGCAATGTCAAGTTAGTACTACTGACTATACGGATCAGAGATTTGACCTCGCGTTATGAATAGCACTTCGGACAAACTACACACCTTCATCAACAGCTGTCCTCGCTCGATGCTACTCAAGATCAGATGACCGGTCAGAATAGGTCAGCAATAGAAAGGGATCTCTGACAATGAACCAACTAACCCAGCAGGAACTGGCTATGCGACAAATGTTGAGGAAGAAATGGAGGTGGATTGGTCATACGGTGAGAAAACAAACCATCAAGTGAGTTACATCACACTCCAGGCCATCGGTCGAGTGGGACCCGGTTATTTCTCAGTTTGAGGATGAGTTGGCATGGAGGAGGTGATGTGAAGAGGAGATGAAAGTATGAATGCAGACGTGGAGTCAGGTGAAAATGTTGGTGGAGAACCGAATGCAATGTAGACGTGTGGCTGAAGCTCTATGTTCCTCTAGGAATTAGAGGAAACAACGGCAATACCAAGAATAATTTTGAATTGATAAAAGGTCATAACCACGTACTGTTGCAATTCAAATCATTAGGTAATTGCTAAGGTTATAGGATCCACTTAAAGATCCGAACATACTGATCTGTCAGTAGAACCAACGACAGTTCATAGTGCAAATAATTATGAATGCATTGTAAGCCTCAGTTTTATTTTCTGTTCTCCTTTCTTTTATTATGTTTTTTTTGTAGATGTTACTTACACCTGTAGACTTTGATGATGACCAGCGACGAGCATATTGGCGAACAGCACTTCAAGATTTATTAAATCAAGGTGTTGTACCTATAATCAATACAAATGATGCTGTAGCCTGGACTAAAGAAAATGCTGAAGGTAAAGATCCTGAAGTAAGTCCTTTGAACGTGGTGATATTATTGGTGTAGATTGATTCTTACAAGAATTTCAATCCTCATAGAGAGGAGGTCTGATTTCGATTCCTGCCTGACACCTTTATGAGCCTCAATCAGGGTGCGTTAACCAGTTGTATGCCGAGAAAAGTTGGGAGGTTGAGAGTGATGTTAGCTACTCTACAGGTGAAAAGCAAAACTACCAGCAGTGAAACTTCCAAGCCATATCCCCCCAAATACATCACTTTATTTTTTTATTCCTTTACGTCGCCAGTGGAATATAGGACGGCTTCAAGTTAGAGGTTTGAGTTTTCAGTAGCTGGGGCGTTTATTTTCACGAGATGGGGTTACTAGCCAGCCTTGCACCCAATATGCTCTCTTTATGAGTCGCATTACTGGTTTAGCGAGGTAGAGGAGTGCGTCGGTGGTCGGGGATTGAACTCCGGAGTACATAAGGCGTGGTTGGTGACCAGCATTTTACTGATGTGCCACCGACGCACATCCATGTATCACTAAAATTACTCAAGCATGATTGGTTACATAAAACACAGTAGTCTTTCTCTTTGACAAATAAAAATTAAGAATAACAAAAATGTTGATGATATATACTACTGATAGAGTGTTATGAGTCGCTGATTACCACTCACATCAACTAGCGGTGCTTGCCTGCTTGCTTTCTAGGCGATTAAAGTTATCTAAACACCAGAAAACCGTTTCGTTCGTTTGAGGACGATCTCGCTAGTGATGTAATTAGTTTTGATTCTGCTCAGAATGCCGTATCAGCTGAAATCAACCGAATTATGGCTAGTCAATCAGGTGATATGATACTCGTATCCATTAACCATTCAGTCGGTAGTAAGTATATAACATCATGCTTTCACGTTCCCTTGTCTTGATTACTATTTATCATATGAAGAAGACTGACCACACAATATGATGCCAATAATTTAGGTTTCTGAAGAAAACTCTGCAGAAAATTAGCCTCAAATTGTGTAAATTGGCTAATGGTTTATTGTGCAAACTGACAGTATTTTCAGGTATTGGCTTTTTTAGGGATTTTGTTTGATTGGCTTAGGGGGGGGGGGATTTCATCACTAGCTGACATCAGTCAGAGAACCATTGGAAAACCACTAGGGAATATTAGACAGCTAGCTGTTTCACCCCACCTCGGGACTCTTCATCAGTAAGCGCCCACTATCACAGTTTGAACTCAGAACCTTCTGGCTACAAGCAGGCATGCTAGTAGAGCATTAAGCCACTGTAACCCAATCCAGTGACCAACCCGTGAATTCTGACTTCTTCCAATTTATGACATAACACGACCTAGTTTTAAAATGGTTCTTACTCTAAACGATGTCAGCTCATAATGAAAGCCTCCAACGTGACAGACAGTAATTAAATGCTATTAGGGTAGACATAACTGTGCCTTCATTTTTATGCTCACTAGGGATTAGCAGAGGATAACAGATGAAGTTGTATCCCACAGTTGGAAAACTAGTATACTGTGAGTAAGGCTCAGGCATCAACAGTTCAATGGTAGAATGTTCGCCAACCAGAGTTTCGTTCGGGTTCTTTTTCTGACCAGTACACTGCTAGATCTCGCACAGTTTAATAGCTGATAGTAATCCTGGAAAAAAGGTGATGTTAGGCGTAAGATTAATAACCCCACCCTGTTAAAAGCTTGAAACCCCTATATTTCAACCGAAACTCAAAGGAATCAATAAAATGTGGTTGATACTCGGCGTTATTCAGTTATCGACTATGTCAAAAGATTAACACTGATGTCACTTAATAACTAGCAGAGGGGCCCAGGATACGTATTTAGTCTGATTTAAGGCTCGTCAGCTGCTGGGTGTGTCTGCTTCTCCTTCGAGTGACGGTGTTTTTACTAAGACTCCAAACAAGTAGACGTTGTTTCAAATGCCAAGACAGTACCACCTAGTCACCATATGAGCCAAGTAACATCACGTTAATCCCTTCAGACATGGTCAAAGCGTCCACACTAAGGGATGGTGACATATCAGCAGAGATGAACCATTCCAGCTCACTAAAAATCAGCAAGCGGGAAATATAAAATAAATTGAAGAAATAAGCTTCTAAAGAACCGACACAAACATGAAAATTTCTTGCTACATAAAACGTCATGATAAAAATTAGGCTTGGCATTAAAAGATACGTATTTTAAATTATATATATCATTTTATTTTGTGAATTCTACCAGCAGACTTAAATATGACCTGACGTTAAAACTCAACGTACACTCCGGTTTAAATAGTTTTGTCAATCACAGAGTTGCCTACACAACATCTTGTAATAAATATCAGCAAAAGTGCAAAACTTGGGCACTGTGGTAGTATGTAATTCCATATTTATTAGATATATCACACACACACAGTGTGAAACAGTAATATTATTTACTAGATGACACACTTTTGAACATAATTTATCATTGTTCATAATCACATCATCAATTATAATCACACAACACCAAAATTTGAGTATTTTTTTAGTTATGTTTTTTCATTCCAATTCGTCATCTTCGGCTAAGTAGAATTTTCCAAATGTCTGGATGGAAAGGTGTTGATTCGATGATGAATAAAGCTTCTGTTATCAATCTCTCCCTCCAACCTGCTGTAACGTTAGATTTTGAAACTGTCATATTATCCCATCCATCCTGTTGTATGGTTGGCGGTGTGTAATTGCATGTAGTCAGTGCTATGGCTGAACTATTCTCTAGATTTCTTATCATATTCGGTTCAACTAATCTAGATTTCGTTGCTAGGTTTTTATGCTCGGCTCGTCTGACTGACCACGTTCCACTAATTTCACCGTATGTATGTCACCCAAAATGCATTACACCAGGGTATTAGATAAACTAAATTGTTTTATTTAATGGTCTCTACTGTTTGTTTCTAGTTGAGTTTGTGGATGGCTTGAATACCGGCCACATTTATTCCTCCCTGCATTATTAAGAATTCTCAGCCGTTAAGGGGTTTTTCAAGGTTCCATCTTTGTATGTAATACAGTTTCACTGTATGATATATCTAATAAACAATTATGGAAATAATATCAGTTTAATGACATTTATAAGTTTGTAACAATCATTTATGGTCATTCGTTATTTTTACAGAAAAGTAGTAGACTCACTAAACAGTTTAACAAACTTAGCTATGAACTCCATATTAGTTTGTTTATTAGATATATCACACACTGTGTGAAACAGTATTATTATTATTTACTGGATGACTTTTCGGTCACGTTTTGTGAGGTCAGATACATTGGTCAGAGTAGTAGAACAGGGGCAGTCAGTCAGACTAACGGTGCATAAAAACCGAGCAGCGAAATCTAGATTAGTTGACTCGAATAAGATAAGAAATCTGGAGAATAGTTCAGCTATAGTACTCACTACATGCAATTACACACAACCAGCCATGTAATATGATGGGATGAGATAGGGTGACAGTTTTAAAATCTAGTGTAGCAGCAGGGTGTGGAGAGAGATTGATAACAGAAGCTTTGTGTTTACCGGATCATCTGAAATGGAATACGTGTAATAGGAATGATTCAACACCTGTCCACCCGGATATCTGGAAAATGCTACTACCCATACGACGACAAATAGGACAGAACAAAGAAAACTATGAAACTCAAGTTTCAATTTGTGTGAATACAACTGATGATATGATTATGAACAATAATACATTATAAAACACAAAATAATCGAGCAAAGAATATTCTTTTTGATAATTTCTTCTTCTGGCTTCACAATTACACTTAAATATGTTTATATATATATAGAATATTCCAGAATAGTAGTCGATAACAATATAAGTATTTTTTAAAATAATATTGATTTGTAAAGTAAGATCACAGTGAAATTACAGTTCATTAAGGATGCTTGAATTATAATAATGAAAATATAATACCAAATAGAATATCAACTAAAATTTAAAAACGTGACCAGTAGGGTGCAGCAGGTTGGGTGTAAGGACGAATACTCACCATGGAAGATATTGCGAAATGGTTGCGCTATGTCGTGAATTGGCAGAAGTTAGAATTCATGGACTGGCCATTGAATTGGCGGGTCTCAGTGGCTTAATGGTCTACAAGCTCGCCTTATAATCAGAAGGTAATGGTGACTGCGTACTGTTGAAGAGTCCCAAACCAGGCTGACAAAACAGCTGTCCAGTACTCCTAGCTGGTTTTCCATTGGTCCTCTAAGTAATGTCAGCTCATGATGAAATCCTGTAACAAATCAACTCCCTACAAACCAACACTTTAAAATTAGAAAAATTCCACAGAAATTGAGGATCATTTAAACGTAGATTGCCAAGGTAAGGATAATGTCTGAAGCAGCTTCTTTTAGACGCACAAATTAGGTTTCTTAGTATGGATCCTAACAGACAGCCTCAGTAATATTTATTCAGTAATCGAACTCTTAAGGCGAAATTAAGATTTGCTGGTATGCGGTAAATGACCCTGAAAGCCTGGTGTTCTGTATCCACAAGATGAGATAGAATAGCACCATGAATAGATTTTGTCTGTCCTTTACTTAACCACACAGAGTGGTGATTTTCGCAAATCCGACGAGAAACACGCCTAATTTTTTTTTTTTGATTTACAGCTTGATTCCACACTGTATTTTCGGTACAAGTATGGAATTTTCAGCATGGATATCGGTAGCCCAAATTTTGCAGGCCGACGATAGATATCAGGTGTGCGTCGGTGCGGGCTCGAAACCCGGGCCATGTGCATGGTCGGCGAGAGTCCTAACCACTGTCCCACCGACGCACTAATTGTAAGGCCTATGTAAGTGGCTCGATAGGAGCTGTTAAATTGGTAGATACACATGGATGAGGCGAAATTAAGCAGTTCAAAACTGTGTTATCCAGTGAATAATAATACGGTTTCACACTGTGAGTGTGACATATCTAATAAATAAATTAATATGGAAATAAATACTACTAAAGTGTTAAATTTTTACACATATATTAATTAATTATGAACTGATCTGATTGCTTTTTGATACAATAGCCGTGATGTAAGGCAGAGAGAAATAGGTATTGTTACATATTTATTTTATCCTTTTGCGTCCTTCCCATTGGAACATACGCCTTCAGGATTTTTGAGGCTTAAAGTTTCAGAAGCGGCGGTGTTATTCTCTCTCTCTCGCTCTTACGCTATGGTATTGTTAGCCTCACACCCCGCCTTGACTCCTTACCGGGCCTACTACCGGCTAAGTGGTGAGATTTTAGATTGCATCAGCCGGGGATTAAACCTCGAGCCACGTGCATGATTCGCTTCAACTTGATTAAGGTTTCTCAGACTGAAACGTAGGTCGTACTTTGCTGTTGAGAACTATTGAAAAGAAAACAGAAACCTAACGACCATGTTTTTGCATGATTTTCAAGGTGTAGTTCCGAATAATTTTCTGTTGTATGAATATACGTATATATCCATTTAAGTAGTATGATAATTTCAAACTTAAATTTTCCTTTGACATAAGTCATAAATGCGAATAGGTAAATTTGTTGGTGAATGTCTAAGGAATTTTCATTTGATTTTGTTGACACGACATCATCGTTTAAAATATTCCCTTCATCGCTAAAAGGTCTCAAGCCAGAATGAGACAACTCTCAGGTGTTCCCTGGTTTTCAGCGATTCCTTACTGAAAGCCCTAATCTAAATATCTAAATATCAATTTTCAGAGTTGAAAAGAGCCTCTTCGCTGAATATTGCATTCTTAATGCTACAATGGGAATGATTAAATTATTGAAAAAATTAGAATTCATTGACCATAGAATTCTCTCCAAGAGGTATTAAGATCTCGAGTTCGGTCTCTGTTTGAGTCCTATGTGTGCAAAGCTCTGTCAAGTTAAAGTATGGCGATCCAGGAGTGTGAACGCACCAATGGCCTTGAACGCATACAATCCGTTAGACAAGAATACCTACCATTATTTCAGTGACACCGTAAACGAATTTAGGTAAATATTTAGTGCCGATCTAATTTTTAAGTATTGTCTGGACAATGCGTTGATAACTCTTTAGGGTTACGATCATGATATAGGTTATGATTTTATTTTTTTATTTTTGATTTACAGCTTGATTCCACACTGTATTTTTGGTACATGTATGGAATTTTCAGCATGGATATCGGTAGCCCAAATTTTACAGGCCGACCATAGATATCAGGTGTGCGTCGGCGTGGGCTCGAACCCCGGACCATGTGGATGGTCGGCGAGAGTCCTAACCATTGTGCCACCGACGCATAAGATTACGATGAGGGTAAAAGATTATGACCACAGGTAGGATGTCTTAGTATCTGTATTTTTCTAGTAAATCGTTGTCGTTCCCCCTTCTGGAACCCATTCTAATTCAATCGCCGTCTTTAGGGGATAAGAGAGATAAATGGTTCACAAAATGAACACTTATCTTCAGTCACCTCAATGAACACGTCAACAGCAACTAGTTTAACATGAAAAAAAATGGTACTTCTAATTATAATTGGAAGGTATTTTTAAGTCGTTTTGAGGGTAAAATATTCTATTACAACAATTAGTCCCTTTTAAAAATTTTGGATAGTGTTATTAGAAGACGGAGATAATCTGAAAAACTATATGATGTGATGTATTTCCGCTATACATTTCGAACAATCTGATCCACACATTTACTTGTCAAGTCGATATATATGTAAAAGTTACGGACTATTAAATTAAACAAAGTGACAACAAAAAAGGAATTAAGAATAATTAACACAAACGTTTGGAAATTCAATCAGATAAGGATTGCCAAGGTAGGTAGGTTAAGAGTAATAACAAACTGTTTTTGAATACTCAGGGGGGGGGGGGCTTAAGTTTATGGACAACTATAGCCTCAGCGTATTTCACTAAGCGCTCTTGACCATATCTATAGATGACCTTAAAGGCTGAGTTAACATCAGTCTTATGGTTCATCTCGATTAGATGTTTCGTTGCAGATGAAGTTGGTAGTCTATGACAATTCATTTGTTTACCTAACCATTTCGGGATTTGCTCTCCCACCCTCACATGCAAAAGACGATTACTCCTATCTATTTACGTGTGTCCACACACACACACACTATAAAATTGGTAAATAGTGTGAGATGTGACATAATCACTTGTGCACTTTTGAGGTTTGCAGTGGAGCATACTTTTGGCTTTTTCGATAAATACAAGCTGGGCTGCATAATAGGTTCTACGGATGATCGAATTCAACCTTTGTCTCAAAATCCTACTGTTTATTTCACCGTTATATGGTGGTTTGATGAAAACAATTATTTTACTTAGTGGCTGTGTAGATTGTAGGTTTAGAGACTAGTTGACTTCTACACTTGTTTAAAAATTTCAAAGGATATCCCCGTTTTCAACAAGAGTATCCATGAATATTTCATTTTCTTTCTCTATAACATCAGCCGTGCAAATACGTCGAATCCCCTTAAATAGACATTTCACCAAGCTGTTTAATGTATTTTATCGTTAATCTCTGTATTTTGCTTGTGAATAAAAGTCATTTTTATTTAAAAACCAGTGGTTTTTATGATTGGTAGCCTCAAGGTCAGTTGTGCTTTCGCATTCCATGGACCATTACCAGAGTTTAACTTTGCCCATTGTTGAAGACTTCCGAAATAGGATGAAACACATGTACAGTGCTTTTTAGTGTTGTTGATCCATGACGAAATCAACAATCAACTTATCCCATATCTTCAAGTATTGATTTTGTAGTACTGCTGAAGAGTCGCAGTCTAGGACGAAACATCTGTCACGTACTCTCAGGTTTTCCAGTGGTTCTCTAACTGATGTCAGCTCATGATGAAATTCTCCATGTTATGCCATATCCTAAGAAATACTGATAATCTAAATCATAACATAATTTTTTGTGAATTACTCACCTTCTAGGGTTCAACATTAGCTCCTCAAGTACGTGACAACGATAGTTTGGCAGCTCGTTTAGCATGTGAGCTGAAATCCGACTTATTGTTATTGATTTCTGATGTTGATGGAGTATATACTGCACCACCTGGTAGTCCTGGAGCTAGATTTATTGCAGAATATGAAGTACGGGAAAGTTCAGAATATGATACACTCACGCCAACACTTCATGGGGAACTGGTCAATTTTGGTACTCCATCATCTGTTGGTACTGGTGGGATGCAAAGTAAGATTGCATCAGCTATTTGGACTACTCGACAAGTGAGTTATTATTATGATTATTATTATTATTATGAAAGGCTTAATTGCATTCTCAAAGATACAGTTTTAACAATAACAATAACAATTTCGCTTTATTCCAGAAACAGTACTTGTGGTACAGTGTGGAATTTTCAGCACATATCTACAATATTGCATCTAATTTCATCGTACATTTAAAAGGAGTATTATAAAAAAAATAAAATATTTAAAAAAAAACAAAAAAACAATAACAACAAAAAACCAAAAAAGAAACACAGAAATAACAAAAAAATGCAATAAAAATACCAAGTAAAAAGGAAGATAAACACAAATAATGAAAAAATATTTCAGTATTGGTTAGTGGAAGCTACGATATGAGTATGCGTGGTGAACAGTAACAGCTATAATCATACGGGAAATTATGAGATGTTCTTAAAAAAATGTTTATAGCTAAGATGATCAGTTAATTTGATTGAACAACACTAAGCAATCATAAGATAAACATTTCAGGTTGTTTTTTTTTATTGTCAGCACTAATGCGGTTGTTTGTAGTGGTAGTGTGAGGAATCATGCATAATACAAAATTTTTTAAGATGGTGATAGTGGCAATAACAAACAAGATTGTCAGTTAAATAGTGCCGAACAAAGAACAACCACAAAACTAATGTTACATGATGGTTAATGACGGGACAATTTTTAATAATCATAGTGATAATATAGTCGGACCCAGTAGATGTATAAAGAAGGAATAGAATAAAGAATAAAAATGTAAGCCAATGATAATAATTTTAAGCAGCTAAGTATGTTTAAGAAGGTTGTTCACTATAGAGTACAAATAAGAGAGTGTAAGGGGGAAATAACAAGGGCCAAAATTATGTTATTAACAACAAAGCAAGTCATAGGTTTCACGCTTAACATTGTCTCTGTCACTTAGAACACGGGCCAAATATGGTATCGTTGAGTTCCTATACTTGGTTGTACGAGCATATATTATTTTGTACTGATTTCTGGTTCTACCTGATGAGATGCAAGGAGAGAGTTGGGAATAGAGGGGGTGTTGGGGGTCAGAGAGTATGGTTTTAGACCATTTCTCACATGTATTCAGATGCTTATCCACTAATGTTGTGACGAGCTGACTGAGTTTTACACCGCTAGTCCTACTAACTACCTTCAACATCCTTCTCAGGATGGTATAATCCTTTTTCAGTAACCCAGGAAAGACTAACGGGGAACAGTAAAGTAGAATAGGTAGGATACGAGAGTTGACAAATTGTGAAAGCAGAGGTTGAGGGACTCCAGTTAGTCTGAGTTTCTTAATGTAGTAGGTTAGACGAAACACTTTCTTGGAAATCATTTGGATATGAGATGACCAGGTAAGGTCGGAAGATATAACTAATCCGAGGTATTTTGCATTAGACTTTGTTTCAATTATAGTCCCCTCAATTCTACAGACATCATGAGTGCTTACTAGTGTTTGTAGATCTCGTTTGTGCCTAAAGGAGAAGTCGACAGTCTGGCATTTTGAGGGATTCAGCGTTAGGCCATTTAGTTTAGACCACTGACTGATGTCCGACAGGAAGCTATTTAATTTGAAGCAGTCTGACTGAGACTTAACGGGAAGCGAAACAGTCAGGTCATCTGCATATTTGACGAAGTTGATTTCGTCTGAGAGAGGTAAGTCATGTAAGAAGAAGGAAAAGAGAAACGGCGAGAGAACAGCACCCTGAGGAACACCAGCTTCAGTAAGCAAAGGAGAGGAAGCTACACCATTATATACCGTGTACTGCATCCTATTGGAGAAGTAAGAGTGCAGCCAGTTGATAGCCCAGGACTCAGTTTGTGTAAGGCTAAGCTTGTTTAACAAAAGGCCTCTAGGTACAGAGTCAAAAGCAGATGTGTAATCAAGGAAAGGTTTAGGCGAGGTAAATATAATAACTGAAGGCTTGAATATGCGTACTAATCTGTGAACAGAGATGTGAAGTGATGTTCGTTTGTTGAAGAAAGTTGACGAAGAACCTTTCTGGTATTCGTCACCACCGTGTATCTTTGATCTTGGAGGAATCGATGCCACCCTCGGGATTTGAACCCTTATCACGCAGTTCTGTAGACAGAGGTGGTTTAACTGAGCAATTAAGATACATATTTGATCTCCTGGAGGGTTTGAGGTTCAGAAACGCTATCAATTCCTTCAAAGTTGCAGATACGCCTTAGTGATGAGTGGCAACAAATACGAAACTTAAATCGAAGATCTACTTCAACTTGTCATCAACAGTCTAATGTCAATACAAACTGCTGCGCAACAGTCAGTCACCTCAAGACCAAAACAGCCAACGAGATAAATGAAAATGATTGCTCCTGAGTTACGAATCCTTCTTTCTGGAAGGAAATCTTGAGGAAGTCTTCTACCTAAATTTAATATTGTTTATCATTCATCACAGACGCTTCTCTGAAGATTGGCAGTCATTACGAATATGGAATCGGTAAGATGGTTAGGGGAGTAAAAAATTGTGACGAGAGCTGCCTGCTAGTCAAAACTGGTAGACAGCAATTTACGTCGATGTTAACTACCCAGATCTTGGTCATGAGAAAAAAAAACCAAGAGCAAAGAAAAACTCAACAACCAATCACAGCAGACTTTTACGTGGGCGGATACGATTTGCAGATATATAGTCTAACCTTCAGTGCTTAAAATGACCAATCAGAAGACACTGTTTCTCTGCTAATAATAACGAAAAAAATAATTTGCATAAAAATCTTTAAATACCTGTTGATTTCCTGAAAAAAACGATCTGTTGTCTGGTCTTTGTCTTTTGTAGTTACAAAATGGCCTGCTCAAAACTACAAATGACATCAAGATAGCAAGGACACAGTGGTTAGGACTCTCGCCGACCATGCTCATGGTCCGGGGTTCGAGCCCACGCCGGCGCACACCTGATATCTATGGTTGGCCTGCAAAATTTGGGCTACCGATATCCATGCTGAAAATTCCACACTTGTACCAAAAATACAGTGTGGAATCAAGCTGTAAATCAAAAAAAATTAAAAATTAAACGTCATTGTCTGTTGTAATGCTAAGTTTTATTTTGCACTTTGCTAATCAACTCTCAGTAAAGTATAATTTATTAACTTCAAGTACTTTGCATATTCTGCACGTGGTAGTGAGGAAACAGGAATACTCTGCATTGACCGATAAGAAGCCTCCATCTAGAAAATCTGGATTTCGTGTTTAGATGATATAGATGTCTAATGTCACTCACACAAACTAAAAGACTTGCAGATTAAAACCAACAAACTGGCTAAAGAGGCTGGCTGGCAGGCAGGCAGGCAGGCGGGCAGTGAAGACAGGACTGCAGGTGAACATAGACAAGACGGATGTGATGAAGATAACGTATCAACCAACAGCAACAAAGACCAGCCCCAACCCACCATCAAATGGGAGAGATTTAACAGAGGTTACTTCCTTCCTTCACTTATCTGGGAAGCATCGTTTCAACTACACAGCCAGCGGAAAGGATGAAGATGCTAAAGTCAGTTAGAAAGCCAACTTGAAACCAATCTGAAAATCTTCTGCACTCCACCTCAGCATAATGAACAAGATTCGGATTTTAAAACCAGTCAAAAACTTGCAGTGCGTCCATATCACGAAAAGCATTTTCAGCAGGCCACTGCAGACTTTCATCAACACCAATGCCCACTTCACTAGCTATCAAGTACTTCCTGGTGGTGGTGGTTTATCAATGGTTCTTTAAAACCGGTATCAGTTCATGATGAAATTCTATAACTCCAACTAATAAAATCCCTACAAACCAATACTTGGATACCCTTCAAATTTTTTTACTTCATGTTCACCTCTGTACTGTCAGGACAAATTTTTTTTGTGCTCAATTGAAGAATATTCTGACTAAGTTCCTTTTATGCTAGAGTGGAAGCAAATCCCTTGAAATGTTCGTACTATCTTGTTCATGAAAATAATTTCTAATTATAGATCTTTCTATTGTACAATCAGTCCTTTTCATCAGAGAAACATTTAGGCAATTTAATGGGGTGTCATTTTCCTTGTATATTCCATCGTAAACTTAAGATTTGAATGGCATGAGCTGAATTTTTCGTCACAATAGATGTAGTACTATGAATGTACACTTCACATTCAACTACCTTTATTACAGACAAATCAACGGCATTGTTATGAGTTCTCTATTGGGCCCAATTTCGGCAGATTTCTTTCCTGCTAAGGTTGAAAATGGTCTATTGAAACAAGTAATAGAGAGAGCTGATTCTTATTTTCACTATGCTGATGATACGTTTATTTTATTTTTGATGTGAAAGCTGACAAGAATGAAATGTTAATAAAATTTAATGATGCACATCCATCTCTCATGTTCACTTGTGAAGACGAATATGATGGTAGACTACATTTCCTTGACGTTCAAATAAGCAGAAGAGAGGATGGTTCACTCAAGACAGTTGTCGGCAAAGTTAAACTTTCGACACCACTAACAACATCACCAAACGACCTTGAACGGACCAATCACAGTAAAGAGGCATAAATTTGAATAGAAATGTATATTTATAGAAAAAAAGCATAAAATAGAGAATAAAAAAGTTGCATGGGATATCTTTCTCGAACATTAGACAGAAACACCTCCCAGTTTAGCATGGGACTGTCAATGGAGAAGTTACACCATATTCTGTACATATATTCATCTAAATGATTGTAAATGAGCTCCTTTGAGATCCATTAATAGCTCTTATCCTATTTTTCAACCTGCCCCAAAATCCTTCAATAGAATTTGTATGCGTTCTCGTAACGGGATCCACAAAATCACTTGAATGATTGACTCTATGATGGATATATCCCAAAGATGACAGGGAATTATAACCCTTCCATTCGTCCGTATGTATTATAGACCCCTTTATTACAAGTCTGGTGATAATGGGTATAAGAGTGGTTGCTTTTCTATCCGCAATCCTTTCCACGAATCCCTTTCGAAGCGAGGTGTCGTACAAACCAATTAACATAACATAACATAAGCTTTATTCCAAATCAGTACTTGTGATACAGAATGGAATTCTTAGCATTTTACTACAATATTGCATCCAGTTTTTTACATTAACAATAAATAAAGTTCTACATAGATTAAAGTTATCTCAACAACATATTAGTATGTCGGTAGCAAAGCCAAAATTAAAGTGTTTGAAGGTGTTAGAAAAGTAGATACTACTAGCATATTTACTGGCGTAAGCGATAGCAAAATGGTCGAGATATACAGAGTGTGAAAGAACGAACAAGAATGTTTTAAGTAGAGTTTGCAAGGAAGAGAGAAACAAAACAGCACGTAACAAAATAAAATACAGAATGAAGAGCGAGAAAACATTGTACCTATAAATGATGTGAGTTGGAAAGACGAGATCCATTGGTTCTACTGACTATTTAATAAGTTAAAGGTTTCATGCCTGATGCATTCTTTATCGCACAGAACACGGGCTAGGTAGGATATGGATGAGTTTTTTTACTTACTAGTGCGGGCATATAGTTTCCTATATAGGCTTCTTGTTTTCCCTGAAGAGATACATTACCCAAATATTGTTCGCCCGCTAGCGACCACGGTTGTATTTCTTCTTTACCAGTACTGTTTCATCGATATGCACGATAACATCTTCTCCACCCAATAAACAAGTGATTTTGTCCATTTTCCATGATGCGATATCTCTACAATGCTGGTACCACTGGACTGTTGACACCAGGCTGTTCTCTGTCTCAGCAGCTGCTGCTCGCACTGGCTGTTTTAGCACCCAGTAGTTGCAGATATACAAAATCTGCGTCAGGGACAGATGCGACCTGGAGAAAAAAGTTCCTACGAAATATTAAAATAACCAGCTTACCCTCTCTAATACTAGAACGCTTCAAACATATACCACAACGATGAACAAATCCATCAGTTGATTTGCTATAGCCCTTTAAAGTCATGATACCACCACACGAACAAGCAACCCTAAATCCAGGCAATACTGCAATACACTATCCTCCTCGAATTGCAACCGTAACCTTGTAAGGGCACGCATTTCAAATGAATCAAGCGCTATACAACATTGAACTGCATTCGTGAACCTCATTGGATAATTCCACATCGTTCATGAATCTCATTGGATAATTCGCTGATTGGTAGTTAGTGGTGTCGAAAGTTTGACTTCGCCGAGTTCTCTATAGAAAACCTACATCTGTAGGACAATATACACATTTCCTCAATTTTGTACCAATCCGATGCAAAATCAATAGAGTGGGACGTATCTGTACAGATGACGCCGTAGAAAATGAGCTAGGATACATCCAAAATACGTTGGTCCAAATGCGTTATCCTAGTAGATTTGTAAGGAGAGACACATGAATACCAGGTACAATAAAGAAAAATTGACAGCAGTTGAAAAGAAACAACTGTCCATGTAAGTGCAATTTAATACAGACGTGGCTAGTGAAATCTTACATCTGAGATTATCGAGAGCGATAAAATGGGCTTATACTGCCACCACCCTTTGTTTGTCATTTTCCAGCTGCCGACCATTTATGATTGCTCAAGTGAAAGACAAACTACCTACCTGTGCCACTTCTATGTGTATCTATAAATGTAGTTGCTCCTGTGGACAGAGCTATATAGGGCGAAAAACTAGACAGCTTAACAACGTATTAATGAGCATCTTCCTTCCTTCATGGTTTGGAAAACGTCAAATAAAATCCATACGAAGTTCTATTTTGGCTCATTTGATTGATGATAGCTGTCACCAAGTGGACAAAAATAGTGCCTTCAAAGTTATCTATCGCATTCCATCGAGCCTTTCGAACGGAATCAGAACCCGTCCTTTACACTTAGCCGAAGCTATGGGAATTAATTCGAGAGAACAATCCCAGTGTCTTTGCATACAACAACAGAAGTTTGTTCTACCTTTTTATCTCCCCCACCCTTGGCCTAGGTGAATTCTATTCAAAACCCTACCACCCTTTCTTATCTTCCAATCTCCTTCGTACTTTTATGATATTTATTTAAACTCTGATTATCTGTCCACATCACCTACCTGTAGTATTACGTAACTTTTAGGATTTGACCTAATTTATTTATTTATTGAATTGTCTACATATACACATATCACTACCTTTGTTATTCTTATCGCCACCTGCATAAACCTTATTATCAATATTTTGTTATCATTATAATCATCGTTATTAATTTCGTTCAAAACATTTACCACATTACTATCATTATTATTTGATGCACAAAATCACCGTCATTGGTTAAAATTTTTATGCATAAATCCATGTAAATTAGAGTAAAGCCTGAAGAAGATCTAATTGAAAATAACAATATTGTTCGCTTATATTTCTTGTAACAATAGGTCTTCTCTACAAGTAAAGTCAACTGGTCATTCAGGTTTGAAATTCTAATCTTTATTTTTGTCATTATTTTCATCTTCTTTGCTTATCCAGGGGACATCAGTAGTTATCATTAGAGGTAGTCGATTCAATTGTATCACTGATGTTATGCATGGCATGGATGTGGGCACATTTTTCACCTTGCAAAAAGAAAGTGAAAATGGGAAAGAACATGGTACAAGAGAAGAAATTGTTAAATCTGTTGCTATGAAAGGTAAATTTTCAACAATAACAAAAATAATATCAAATACTTTCAAGTATTTGATTCGTAGGGATTTTGTTTGTTGTATGGAGGATTTCATCATCAGCTGACATTAGTTAGAGAACCACTAGAAAACCAGCTGGGAGTACTGGACAGCTGTTTCGTTCTAGTTTGGAACTCTTCAGCAGTATGCAACCACCGCAATGTCTAGCACCCAGGACCTTCTGGTTATAAGGCGAGTTAGCTCGTAGATCATTAAGCCACTGGGATCCTATCCAATGGCACATGAATTCTACCTTCTGCCAATTCACAGCATAGCGCGACCATTTAGCAATGTCTTCTTCGAAGATGAGGCAGTAACTCATCGTAGCCATGGCGGAGGATTAGAAAGTGAAACATAACATACTAAGTATTTATATTACGGCTAAATTTAGATGTCACCAGTTCTCTGATGATATGTGAGGATGAGTTTTTCAAACATCGTGCGTGGATGAGTGGCCCATATTATTGCAGACCAAAAACATGTCGTCAACATACTTGCAGTAATAGATGTTTCTCTGTCTTTTTCTGGCTTCATTCGAGTCTGTTCAACATGGCTATAAGTACGTAGGCAAGAACAGGATCCAAAGATGAAATCATAGCCACCCGGTCAATTCACCAGTACAGATGGTTTTTGAATCGTAACTGAGCATTATACATGTCCAAACCAAGTTCAGTATTAACAGTTTGGAAAACTTTGGGCATTTGGTTTTTGATATATATTATTACTATCGGCTAGATGAGGATTAGGATTGGGTCAATCGAGAATCGAACATCGGATGACGACCGTGGCTGGCGAGTACTCTGCCACCGAACCACCAACTCAATCTTGTAAACTCTTTGTTTTATCAGTTTTCAACCTCGGTCAGTAAAACCGGTTCAGGGTTCAATCACCGCAATCATTTATTAAAATAAGACTTCATCACTAAGTTCTGAGAGACAGTCTTCATTGTCATTTGATTCTTAGTGCGAAAATTAATTAGATCGACAGTTTGTCTATTACTCATTTTAAAAACAATTACCAAAAGTTTAATTAAATTTGAGATTTTCCCGTCGATTGATTGGACCGAAGTGCTCGGTCTCAGGTTGACATGTCGGCTTCTTGTGCAGATGCTTCGATGATGTCTGGCATTTAATTAGTATACAATTTGTGGATGGTGGCTAGTGGAATGGATATTGTGCATTTCGTCCTGTTTGGGACTCGTCAGCTGGATGTACCTGCATTTCTCAGTGAGTGATGATGCTCCCACCGAGGCTCGAACCAGTGCCCATAGTTTCAAACCCCAAAGCGTTATGCACTAGACTACCTGAGCCAGGATAACCACCTCTTGTGCTATTAATTATTTTATTGAATTTGAGATTTTCCCGTCAATTGATTGGACCAAAGTGCTCGGTCTCAGGTTGACATGTTGGCTTCTTGTGCAGATGCTTCGATGATGCCTGGGCATTAAGTTAGTATTTAATTGGTGGATGGCGACTAGCAGTTATGACCAGTTGCTCTCGTGGCCCAAATGGTCTAGTGGATAACGCTTTGGCGTTTGAAACTATGGGGACTGGGTTCGGGTCTCGGTGGGAACATTATCACTCACTGAGAAATGCAGGTACATCCAGCTGACGAGTCCCAAATAGGACGAAATGCGCATCCTGACTGGATTCCACTGCTAGTCACCATCCACCAGTTAATTACCAATAAGCATTGATTTCCCAAGTGTGTATCGGTAGCACAGTGGTAGAATGCACGCCAACCACGCATATGGTCTTGGTTTCGATCCTCGGCAGACACACTCCTTTACCCTGTTAAGCCATTAATAAGAATGGGAAAGAGGGGAGGTTTGGCATGAGGCTGGCTAGCAACTCAAGCCCGTAAAAATAAGCATCATTGCTACCGAAAATTCAGACTGTAGCTTGAAGTCCTATGTTCCAGTGGAGGCTTAAAGAAATATGCATATAAACATTTATTTTGGCGGTTGATATCCTTGACTGAAATGATCAATCTCAGCACGGTATACATGTTCTTAAAAGAAAGTCCCAATACTATGAGGATGATAACTAAAAAACTACTTACCTGACGGTGATTAGCAGTAGAATGCCAGACTCCCGTGTAGTCTTACTTATAATTCACCAGATGAATGTAAATGCCTACCGATGAATAAGAATGTTTTCACTGGGGACTCGAACTCAGAAGTCATAGTTTTAAATCCATAGGAGTAATTCACTAAATTTAACAGGTAAATGATAGCCACTTTTTATAAAATCAGTATGAAATATTAATAACATTTATAAAGTTATATTTGCAAAATCTCAGCGATATTGAAATGATTAATTCCAACGTTTCCTGTGTTCGGCAATCTGGTCCGAACTTCTTCAGGGAAATTAATCGAAAATTAACATAACAAAGTTTATACATAAAGGGACACATCTTGTTTTTTAAAACTTTGTCCAATCATGAATCATGCAACAGTTATCAATATGTATAATAAATAAATAGAATTGTATGTTTATATAAAAGTACATCTCTTATTTTTAAATATGAATCAATAGGTATACTAAACAAAACAAAACAAAAACTGTATGAACTATGATCAAAAACTATTGAATTGAATTTTTGATTTTCCCGTCGATTGATCGGACCGAAGTGCTCGGTCTCAGGTTGACATGTCGGCTTCTTCTGCAGATGCTTCGACGATGTCTGGGTATTTAATTAGTATACAATTGGTGGATGGTGGCTAGCAGTGGAATCCAGTCAGGATGCCCATTTCGTCCTATTTGGGACTCGTCAGCTGGATGTACCTGCATTTCTCAGTGAGTGATGATTCTCCCACCGAGGCTCGAACCCAGTGCCCATAGTTTCAAACGCGGTTCGAGCCTCGGTAGGAACATCACTCACTGAGAAATGCAGGTACATCCAGCTGACGAGTCCCAAATAGGACGAAATGCGCATCCTGGATTCCACTGCTAGCCACCATCCACCAATTGTATATGATCAAAAACTTTTTGACCTCAGACTTTCAAAATTTGTCTACTTTTGTAAAAATATATGTGTATATGCAGTATATGCAGGATACAATGGTGTGCATGTGTATGTGTGTGTGTGTGTGGGTGGGTGGGTGGAACAGTCATAAAACATTTGCTATTCTCATATGAGCTGTGATCAAGATTTGACCGAATAGTTACAAAATAATTGACATTTTTATAAATATAATTTAATTTTTATAGATTTGCTATTCTCTCCATAAGAAGACGTAGACAATCGGGAATTTGACCAAGTGTGACTACTTGTTCATACATATCAAATTTTTATTTTATTTATTAATCAGGATTTGCCATGCATCAGCTAACATCACACCTTCACATTTGTTTAAACTGCTGGGATTCACCCATATATGTAGGGCTTCTGAAGTCAGTCTTTCTTGATATGAACCAAAACCTTTCTGTAAAAAATCAGTCTTATCAAGGTCGATTTTGTGTCCCGTTTCTATTGAATGCAGTGCAGTGCAATCGCTGAGTTGTTTTCTAACTTCTTCAAGTCTGCAGAGCTCTTTGGAACCACCTTTAAACATTGTTTATGCTCTTTCATTCTTATATTTACCTGTCTAGAAGTTTCTCCTACATATACTGCGTTACAATCCCCACAATTGATCTGGTATATGCAATTCTGCTGGTTTTCTTGTTCTATTTTATCCTTAACCTTCACCAGTAATGAGCGTAAGGTGTTAGATGCACGAAAGTACACTCTTATGTTATGTTCGATAAGGATTCGCTTTATTTCATCGGATGTTTCTTTGCGGTAAGGAACCACCGCTGTACTAACCCAATTCTTAGCAGCAGGTTTTGATTCATCCTTATCTTCACATTTTAAGTATCTTTTTACGAAGGCTTTAGGATAATTATTTGACTCAAGAGTGGATTGAACTAATTTTATTTCCTTGTTAATATCTTCCTCCTCAGTAACTAGACTTTTGGCTCTGTTGATCAGATTCTTGGCCACAGTTACTTTGGTGGTAAATGCGTGAGCTGAATGGTAATCTAGGTATCTATCCGAATTTGTCGGCTTTCTGAAAATGTTTATTTTAAATTTTCCGTCTAATTTTCTTTTTACTAAACAGTCCAGAAACGCCAACACATTTTCATCGGATTCCACCTCTTTGGAGAACTTGATGGTTTCTGACATATTGTTTATTAACTGAAAAAGTTCATTTTTTCAGTTAATAAACAGAAATTTCACGGCTGACTGGTTTCAACGTAGAACTTTGTACAGGGCAAACTACACACTAGTGTTTATAGAAAACCAACGCGTTCTGCTAATAGATATTTAGACTTGAATTCATGTCATCCGTTAACTGTCTGTAAAGGCAGGCTTAGTGAAGTGTCTAACAAACCGAGCAATAGAACTAAGTAGCACAACAAAAGACCTAAATGATGAAATAAAACACATAGAAGAAGCGTTGGTGTTAAACAACTAACTATCCTATAAAATTCATTAGGAATATTACAAAAGTAGACAGAAGACAAGTAGTTCAGCGAAGAGTCTCTTTTCGGCGAATTCATTTTCATAGCTGTAAAATCGCAAATATATATGGTTATTTTGTGTGTGTGTGTGTGTGTGTGTGTGTATACATTAAATTTGTCAAACGAAAATACAATTAGTAAGTTCAGATGAATTGGATGTTATCAAATGTTGACAAATTTAATGTATACACACACACACACACACAAAATAACCATATATATTTGCGATTTTACAGCTATGAAAATGAATTCGCCGAAAAGAGACTCTTCGCTGAACTACTTGTCTTCTGTCTACTAATGTTCAAATGGGAATTGTTCATGAATATTACAAAAGGTCAAAAGCGAAACATAAATTAATAGTGAGACTAATAGTGATAGCGTCGGTGGTATAGCGGTTAGGATGCTCGCCAACCATGCACATGGTCCAGGGTTCAATCCCCAGCCACAGACGCACTCCTTTACCTCGCTAAGCCAGAAATAATGCTGATAAAGGGGAAAGGTTGGGCATGAGGCTGGCTAGCAACCCCATCCTGTAAAATAGATAAACACTTCGAGCCACTAGCTTGAAGCTCTATGTTCCACTGGGGATCGTGAAGAGAAAAAAAGTAATAGTGATAACAGAAATAAGAGAGAATGCAAGTCATCCACTGTTATACCATATAAAGAGGACTGGGATATCTGAAACCCTCCCTACGTAGGATTCTTAATAAAGCAGGAATTAGGGTGGCAGCATTCAAACCTATAAATTTACTCAGATAGGACAAGGTCTGTAGGTTAAAGGACCCTGTCGGTTGACCCAATTAGACAAAATAAATAAAATTTACAAAATACCCTGCAATGCCTGTAAGTGAGGCCAACTACATAGGTTAAACTAGTAGGTCAGGGGTAGTCAGATTATCAGAACATAAGAATTTAGCTAAAGTAAGAATCAAGGCAGACAACTACAGGCAACAATGGACAATACTCCAGCTGGCGACATTAAAATACTAATGGAAAACATGAACGCCAAACTGGGACCAGACAATACAGGAAGGGAACTCATCATGGGTAGAAAAGCTCTCGGAGAAATGAATGAAAACGGAGAACACTTCGCCGACTTCTGCGCCTTCAACGAACTAGTGATTGGTGGCAGTGTATACAAGCACAAAGATATCCACAAGGCTACATGGGTGTCACCAGACGGGCAAACCAAAAACCAAATCGACTTCATCTCAATCTCAAGGAAGTGGAGGCGCAGCCTACTGGACACAAAAGCAAGAAGAGGAGCAGACGTTGGCTCAGACCACTATCTCGTACAAGGGACAATCCAAATCAAATTAAAAGCTTTCAGATAAGGAGGAGCTGCAGATAGACCACAAGCCAAGTTCAACACTCAAAAGCTGAAGGACCAGGCTACAAAGGACATCTTCATTGCAAGCATAAAGGACAAAGCTGAGATACAAATCAACACCAGCGAAAAGGTCAGCGTCGAAAAGCACTGGAACAACTTGAAAACGGTGTGGAGCCAAACCTGCATAGAAATTCTAGGCAGAAAAAAGAGACAGGACAAACAGTGGCTCACTACGGACACTTGGAAACTAATAGAAGAGAGAAGGACAGTGAAGCAAAAGATTATCCAGTGCACCGACGAGCAACAAAAACAGGAGCTGAATGCAAGCTACAATACACTGAACAAAAGAGTGAAGAAGAGTGCCAGGGAAGACAAAAGAAAATATTATGAAACCATGGCAAACGAAGCAGAACAAGCTGCAGGCAAAGGAGACCTCGCCACACTCTACCAAACAACTAGACACCTATCGGGCAAACGTTCGACACAGATTAAGCCAATAAAGGACGACAATGGAAAGTCAATCACCAAAGAGGTGGAACAGAGAAAGCACTGGGCTGAACACTTCTAAATCGTCCGCCACCTACAACACGCCCAGCAATACCAACAACGGAAGCAGAACTACCAGTGAACACTGACCCCCCGACGAAATCAGAAGTCCTGAATGCAATCAAGATGCTTAAAACTGGGAAAACACCGGGACCAGATGGAATCCCAGCAGAAGCTTTGAAAATAGACCCAGAGACAACAGCGGACTTGATGACACCACTGCTGGAGAAGGTGTGGAAAGAGGGCAAAGTACCCGAGGATTGGAAGAACGGATACTTATTCAAACTTCCAAAGAAAGGAGACTTAAGTCAATGTAAAAACTGGCGTGGAATTATGCTTCTGTCCATTCCAAGCAAGATACTAAGTCGCATCATCCTGGAGAGAATCAAACAAGCCCTAGATGAAAAACTTCGTCCGGAACAGGCTGGATTCAGGAGAAACAAATCATGTATTGATCAAATCGCCACTCTACGGATCATCATTGAACAAAGCTTGGAATGGCAGTCACCTCTCTATCTCAACTTCATCGACTTTGAAAAGGCCTTCGACAGCGTCGATCGAGAGGTCATTTGGAAACTACTTCGCTACTACGGGGTCCCATCGACAATTATACATCTCATCCAACAGTTATACGACAATGCTGCATGCCAAGTAATCCACAACGGGAAACTTACGGAAGCCTTCGAAGTGAGGACGGGAGTGACACAAGGCTGTCTACTATCACCAATGATCTTCCTGATTGCAGTAGATTGGATAATTATACACACAACAGGCAATGAGGAAACAGGCATAAAATGGACTCACACGAAAAACTTGGAGGATCTGGACTTCGCCAATGATATATGTCTGATTTCCCACAAGCTGGAAGATATGCAAGTGAAAAGTAACAAGTTGGCAGAAGAAGCATCAAAGATAGGACTTCAAGTGAACATAGATAAAACAGAGGTGATGATGATTCTTGGCCAACACCAACAGCAACAACAGACAACAATCAGCATAAATGGGAGGAACCTGAAAGAAACAGCCTCCTTCACCTACCTGGGAAGCATCGTTTCAACTACAGGCGGAACTGACGAGGATATCAAAGCCAGAATCGGAAAAGCAAGACAAGCTATCATTACTCTCAAATCTGTGTGGAGGTCAACAGCACTCAGCATCAAAAATAAGATCCGGATTTTCAACTGCAATGTGAAGCCAGTGCTACTATACGGATCAGAGACTTGGCGCCTAATAAAGAGCATCTCCAACAAACTTCAGACCTTCATTAACAACTGTCTTCGCTCAATACTCAAGTTCAGATGGCCAGAAAAGATCAGCAACAGGGATCTCTGGGAGCGAACCAACATCAGGAATCGATTGTGAAACAAATAGGCAGAAAGAAATGGAGATGGACTGGCCATACTCTGAGGAAACCATCAAGAGACATCACTAGAAAAGCCATTGCTCGAGTGGAACCTGAAAAGGAGGCGGCGAGTTGGTCGTCAGTGCGAGGGTGACTTGGAGGATGTCATGCGAGGAGGAGATGAAAGCATGTGGACAGACCTGGAGCAGGGTGAAAAAGTTGGCAGAAAACAGAGGTCAATGGAGGTGCACAGCTGAAGCCCTATGTTCCTCTAGGAACTAAAGGATACAATAATAATAAAGTAAGAATGGTTGACCCAGCAGAGATAAGTAATTTAGAAAAAAGCTCAGCAATTGCAATGCATGCATTAACATATAACCACACGACAGAGTGGGAGAGGGTTGAGATTCTAAGAAGTAATCTAGGTAGGTGGAGAGAGAGGTTGATTATTGAATCCTGCCTGGTTCATCGAGTCTACACCCAACACATGCAACAGAAATGACTCAATGCAAATACCAGAAACATGGAAGATATTATTCCGCCAGTCAGTCAAATCAGAAGAGGATAATAAATAATCTTAAAATTCTATTTCAATTCACGTACATCATAACATTCTTACAAGTAACTTATTATGACTCGTCTTATTACCTATCTGATTGTAACTGACCAATAACACTCATATTATTATTATTATTATTTCTGAATGTACATTATCCTATACTGATTTTTATTCAAATGTCTAATCATCATTTTCACTCATGTATATAAATGAAGCAAGAAAGTTGTGTGAGTAAGTGACTTGATATGACTATCAGTGGCAATAGTTTGTGCTCGAAACGTGGTCATCAGTTAATATTACTGTACAACACTGTGAGACTTTATCAAAATTAAATCTTATCCATAATAGAGTTATACTCTACCACCACAGTGCCCAAGTTTCATACTTATATCAAGAGAATTCGGTAAAGTGACATTCCAAAGACAGGTGATAAACAGAAGTATGAGTGAGGGAAAAAGAATAGTAATATGGAGGAACACTAGAGTTTTACTGGATATTAAAAATCACAATAATAGAATGCATATGCAGCAAGGAGAACGATTTTGAGCCATGTCACCACCCATTGTCTCCAGCTGTCACTGGTTCTTACCATCCAAGGGACCCCAAGCAGTCAGAACGTCTACACTTCCCACGTGGTTGGCTTAAACTAACCGTTATGGATTTCATTGTGGATTTCACAAAAGTCATACTGAATTGAAATATTAATAAAAGAATGGATACTGGTAAAAGAGTACTCTTTTCGATAACCCCTTCATCATCAGGCTCTACATTTGTACATACATTATAGTGAATGAATGAATTAGTGTTATGAACAACATTAATGTTGCTGTTTAAATAACATCGAATCAATAATATTGATAGATTACAGCTGAATCGAATCCACATAAAATAAGCTAAATGTCAGAAAAATTAGGGAAGATAATATTACAAATTCATGAATTTATAGTCTCTACTAAAGGCTGGCCAAGACAGTATTAGGGGCTGGACTTGTTTCTTTTGCACACAGAGCACTGGTTGTTTGAGGCGAATTGCAATAGCCTCTGTTGTTTAACGTATGCCGTGCTTCGATGTTTTTGGCAATTTATTTGGTACCAGGTAGATTATAGAGAAGGACTCTTCCACACTGGCTTTGTGGCCGATTTGCACCAGATGGGTCAATATCGAACTGTTAATGATTTTCACTACACCTTTACCTAGCCATACTGGGGGGATGTTCTCGAGTGAGCATGAAAAATCAAGTTCCTAGAGCAACGATCAATATAACTCGCTCCTCCACAAGCGCAGTTGAAGTGTTAGATACAATTGGAAGTGGCTAGTCTAGTCTAGGTACTTCATCTTCCAGTCGAGGTAGCAGTATCTGTCGTGTAGAGAATAAGATGTGTAGTTTGCCAGCATTAAAAGTTTTTTGAACTGATTTTCTTAATTTCTTCGTAATTATCTAACACACGGTATATCGATTGCCCTTGAATTGCATTCGTATATAAAGGAGAGTACTTTTCCGATTTCTTTGACATGTGTTTCTTGATAAATTTTTCGGGATAGCTATTTTCGATCAGTTTTGACTTTTTGTTCTGCTTTTGTTTTGGACGAATAGCTCGAGAAGCCAATATGCGACTGAATTCATCGACAAGCGAAGATAGAGCAAAGGCGATAGAATACTTAGCTGATAAACTTCTAGAGAATGAAGATGAAATTATCGCAGAAAATGAAAAAGATATCAAAGAGGCTGAAGCGGCTGGTAAGCTTAATCGTGTGTTATCTAAAATGCTGTATTACTTTTATTATTTTTAATTATTTAATATTGGAACATTCTGTTGATTCTACCTATATAGGTGTCACCGCAGTTGCCGGTGAACTTGTAGATATCGTTTGAAGTAGAGTCCACAGAATTACTTCCTCTAATCGACGGTCTAGGGATCGAAAATGTTCGGGATATGAGGGAAAGAGATGCGGTGGCATAGAATGTGCGTCTGATGGCTGACCAAAGTCTTTGAGTTAGCTGTCAACTCCGTAATTTCACCACCCTTGAATGGTGGGTTAATAGAGATAGCTTTCTTTGGTACAGAAGTTGTCTTTTCAAAATATGGTCTATCCTTACTGTGACAAATGATAAAGCTTTCTGGATAATCATTAGCTTATAAAACTAAATGTATATGTCGAAGCTCATCTCAAGGGCCCGCAAAATATGCACGGGCGACACACTGATGGACGAAATTCTGTGGACTCTACTTCAAACGATATCTACAAGTTCACCGGCAGCTGCGGTGACACCTATATAGGTAGAACCAACAGGATGTTCCAATGTCGTCGTCAAAGAGAATATGTTCCAAAGTGGTTATTAAGACATTTGGAAAATCCAAATGAAATTAATGTGAATAGAAATCCAGCATCATCATCATCCATTGCAAAGCACTTAATAACGTCAGGTCACAAAATCAATATTAATGACTGTTTCACAATTATTAAAGGTGATGGAAGCACTTTGGGGATTAATCACATACGTCCTTGACCTGCTGAAATATGATTGGCCATTAGTCTGTACTTTTGTGTTTTATGTAAATGAGTAATTGTCATGCATTTTATTTTATTACTGTGGTGGACCATGTTAGTTGTAAAGCGCTTGCAGAGGAAACTACGAAATGACGATGTTATCATCTTGTGAAATTTGTCTTCTTAATGCCTTATTCAAATTCTGTATTTAAGGTATCCTTTTAAGACATCCATTAAAATACGACTTAATGGACTGAATACTACAATTCCATTGGCCTGACGGAATACGGCTTCAGTGAACGCGGACCACGCTATTTTATTACGGTGACCAAGGGAAGTCACTTTATAATTGTGAGTATTATTGTTTATTAAAGGAGAAACTTTATGCATTATCGGTACCAGGTGATGCACTATACAAGACTTCATTGTTTGCGTTAGGGCTGAGATACTGCCCGCGTGCCAAGACCGAACAGGAGGCTGTCTTTGGGGACCAACCAGGCCCTGGAGCATTTATCTGGAAGTTTGGCCCACAAAGTAGCGGGATAGCGTCAGGAACCCCGTTCCCATGGTTAATTTTCCTTAGACAAGTCACTTAACACTCCACAACTAAGTGAGTATTCATTTTGTATTTATATGACAGAATAGTATCGGAACATTGTTGTAATTCCTCTCTCTCTCTTGATTTCTTTGTGTTTCTCATAATCCAACAAGGTTTATCCTCCGCCTTAATCGCTCGACTACAACTTGGTCATTCAAAGATAAAAACATTGAGTGAAGGTCTCCGACAAATTGCCGTTCAATCACGTCAACGTAATGGTCATGTTGGTTGTGTACTGACTCGTACAAAATTGGCGGATAATTTAATCTTGGAGAAGATTACTGCACCGATTGGTGTATTGATGGTGATATTTGAATCACGACCGGATTGTTTACCACAGGTAAGTTAGTTAATTAGTTAATCATTATCTTTTCAAACTTTATGTGTACAAACACTATTTAAGAGAGCCAGTCAGCCAGGACTCACTGCAGCATTCACAACTTAAGGTAAAATTGAAGAAAGATATCTCATGGACATCTTCCAAGACAACCTGCCATATCAAAGACCCCCAAAAAAGCACACAAAGAAAATCACCCTACCATATATAAAGAACAACATCTCAGAAATCACTTTAAGACTCTTGAAGCTTTTAGGAATTGGTGTCGCACACAAACCAACAAAATCACTTCAATCAGCCAGTTCTGTGCCAACCAAAAGACCCAACAACGAAAGGAGATAAAACCAACATCATCTACAAAATAAATTGTAACAACTGCGAAAAAAACTACATTGGCCAAGGTGGACGTTCCTTTCGTCTTTGTATCCATGATCATAAACTAGCGTTCAAAAGACATGACATCCACTCCCCCACTCATACTGCTGCATACAGACGACCACGGGCATCAATTCGACTGCGACAACCATCATGATGACAACGAAGGGAACGTCCACTTTTGCCAGTGTCCTGTTTTTTGACTGAGAGAACGTTTAAATATTAGACAGAGGAGAAACACCAAGAATGCTAGAGAATTTTTAGGAGGCTGGCTGGTATTCCGCTGAATCATCAATCAATAGACACATCTAGATAGACAAAATTTATCAACCGATAAGAAGGAAACCTCACACACAAAGGGCCAAACTTCAATTCAAAGAAACAATTACTTCCGATATAAGTAACCTAGAAGGTGTGGAAACACAAAACAACAGTCAATCACGAGACTCAAAGTCACCAGGAGAGATGACTAATAAATTTTGTTTTGTTTTGTTTGTTTTTGATTACAGCTTGATTCCACACTGTATTGTTGGTACAAGTATGGAATTTTCAGCATGGATATCGGTAGCCCAAAATTCGCAGGCCGACCATAGATATCAGGTGTGCGTCGGCGTGGGCTCGAACCCCGGACCATGTGCATGGTCGGCGAGAGTCCTAACCACTGTGGAGAAATCTAAAAGCTCACTTCAACACATTGAACTGTATGTGCTGAAGATGTTGCCTAGTAGGAGGAGGGCAATGAAAGCCTGGCAAATAAACTATCCAGCTCAGACAACATATTATTACTAATATTAATTCCTTTACGTTCCCAGTGGGATATAGGGCGGCTTCAAACTAGAGGCGTGAAGTTTCTGTAGCAGTGATGTGTTATTTTCACGGGAATGGGGTCGCTAGCCTCATGCCAAAACTTTTCTGTTTACCAGCTTTATTTCTGGCTTAATAAGGTTTGGGAGTGCTTCGGTGGCCGGGGATCGAACCCCGGACCATGTGCATGGTCGGCGAGTGTCCTAATCGCTGTGGCACCGACGCACTCAGACAACACAACGGCATCAAAAAAACACAACCTTTATGTATTTAAAAACCATGTTCAAGGGTTAGATTGTAGAGATCTGATTTCAGGTTTGATCGCAAACTGATGTCAGTTAGAGGATCAAACTAAGTCTTGAAAATCATTCTATTACTCACCAGTGTGATTGATTACATAATGAAATTGCCTGGAGTTCTACTGAGAAGTTGTGACTAATGGGGTCCACTAGGTTGGGTATGATGACGAAATACCCACCGATCACACTGGCTAGTGGTTGTGCTAAACTCAAGGATCGGTAGAAGTTAGAACTCATGAACTCGGCAATGAACTGGGTCCCAGTGACTGAATTGTCTCCGAGCTAGAGTTCAATATATCTTATCGTTTCTGTCCAAATGGCCATCTTATCTTCAGTATCAAGAAAAGGCAGTTATTGACTGTTGTAATCTAATATCTGATTGAAGTCACCAAATACGGACTTAAGAGAATAAATTTAACTACTTGACGATATGACTTAACATAATAATAATAACAGCTTTATTCCAAACAGTATTTGCGGTACAGGTATGGAATTTTCAGCGTGCATTACAGTATATTGCATCTAATTACATCATAAATTTTATAAGATTTTAAAGTCAAAAAGCAACAACCAAAAAAATAAAAATAAAGACAACAACAATCCACCACAGGATATGAAATATAAAATTAGTGTGTAATAGAAGAAGATGTGAACAACAGTGTAATAGTAACGAAGAAAGGAAAACAAAATCCAATGGGACTATTCGTTAGAGTGCCGCTGGAAGTTGATCGTGTCATACCTAACAGATTTCTCATCACATAACAGCTGTGCCAGATATGGTATTGTGGAGTTTTTGTACCTGGTAGTCCTAGCATATAGCCAGCCTCCTATAGCTGCTTCTAGTTCTACCAGATGAAATGCAAGGAGACAGCTGCGTATAGAGAGGATGTTCGGGGTCCGACAATATTGTATTCGCTAGTTTCTTACATGACATTATATGCCTATCCACAATAGTATTAACCAGTTGGTTTAACGATATCCCACTAGCCCTACTAATGGCTTTTAGTGCCCTTCTCAGCAAAGCCAGGTCTTTCTTAAGTAGTCGACGAAAGATTAATGGGGAGCAGTAAAGACGGGGGGATGGGTAGAATACAAGAATTGACAGACTGAGAAAGCAAAGACTGCTTTATGCCAGACTGCCTAAATTTCCTAACGTAGAACGTTAAGCGAAACATCTTTCTAGTAACTAGCAAGATGTGGGAGGACCAGGAGAGGTCGGTGGAAAAACTCAGCCCAAGGTTCTTGACATCTACTTTATTCCAAAAAAAACAGTACTTATAATGCAGAATGCGATTCTCAGCATTTGTTACAATACCGTGCATCTGATTTACTTAAAATATAAATAAAATTAAAACAAAAAAATTAACCAGAGGAATTTGCTCACACTTACGGTATGAAGTCAAAAATATTCGAAGCACGAACTGGTAGTATTAAATATAATAATAATAATAATAATGATAGTAATAACAGTGAGTTGGTTTCAAGCAGTATTGTCGATTCAGTTTGGAAACTTTACCATGTTATAGATTATTGGATCTAATGTTCTGTTGATATAGCAGTATGTTGAGGGGAAAGACAAGACAAGTTATAACACAGCGTAAATGATGTCCACACTTATGAAAAAAATAAACAAATAAAAACAAGAAATTGAGAGGATTAGAAAAATAAGAAGTACAATACCAATAACGTTTGATGTTGTAGGGTGGAGGAAATGGTTTATTTACTAGTGCAAAGAAGGTTAGTTAGTTCATGCCTAACACTAATTTCATCACATAAAGTAAGTGCCACCAAATATGGTATAGTGGAATTTTTGTACTTAGATGTACGTGCATAAATTCTTCTGGAAAGACTTCTTGTTTTACCTGAGGAGGAGACACAAGGTTGGAGCTGCGGCTAAAGTGAAGGATGCTCACAGTCTGATTAAATTCCTTTAGTAAATTTGTTGCATGACATGAAGTGGCTGTCATCAATGATGATGTCAACGATATGACCCAACGGGATACCACTCTCACCCTACTGACCGACAGTCTTCAGAGTTCTACATAGTCTTTTTTAAGCAATCCAGGAAAGAACAAGTAAGGGTTGACAGTAAAGAATAACAGGTAAGATGCATGAGTTGGCAAACTGTAAGGGGAGGAAAGGTTGAGTTATGCCTGAATGCCTTAACTTGTTAATGTAGAAATCGCTAAGATATTTGAAGACCAGGATAGGTAGGTCAGAAGAAAGAATTAAACCAAGATACTTAACTTTAGACTTGATTTCTATATCCTCACTATTCATGAATTTTTCAACGGTCATAGGAACTAACAGCTTCATCACTTAACTTCCTTTTACATCGGAAACTGAAATTAACAGTCTGACATTTGGAAGGATTTAGTTGAAGACCATAAGGAATAGACCATTTTGCTGACTCCTGATTGAAAGCCATTCATCCTAGTACAGTCTAGCTGGGAGTTAACAGGAATTGAAGCAGTTAGATCATCCGCACAAATCGCTCCATTACAATACATATATATATATTTTTTTATTCACTAGGTTGCAGCCCTATCAATCGCTACAGCAAATGCCCTACTGGCTAAGCCTGGATCAGAAGCAATGCATACTGTTCGTGTACTTCATCGACTTGTTGGCGAAGCTTTAGAAATGGCTAATCTACCTGCTGAAGCTGTTGGTTTACTTCAAGGCAGAAAAGATGTTGATCATGTCTTAAAGGGGATAGATAAACAACCACTGATTGACTTAGTTATTCCAAGAGGTAGTTCAAAAATGATAGAAAATATACGGAATACAGTAAGTAAAGCAGGTACTGGTGTACCTGTTATGGGACATGGAGCCGGTGTTTGTCATGTTTATATTGATGCAGCAGCTGATCCAGAGAAAGCATTAAAGATAGGTGAGTGAAATTATTGATGTAAATTGACATTTTTCTATCATTATTATTTCTTCCTAATTTTGGACTCTTCAGCAGTATGTACTAACCGGATTTCCAACCTGGGACCTACTGGTTACGAGGTGAGCTCCTAGGCCCAACCGCCGGCTAATGTCAGAGGCAAGTAATTGTCCTCTTGCATAACTTCGTGGTCGTAATCAATCCTGTAACCAGTCAACTTCCAGGAAACCAACATTTGGAAAGTGTATTAGACAGAATTTTCCAGATGTCCGGAATAGATGTTGAATGATTCCTATTGCACGAACTGTCAGTTGATTCGATGATGAATAATGCTTGCGTTATCCAGTTCTTTCCTCCAACGTGTTATATTACACTTTAAGACTGCCATCTTATCACACTCCATTGCATGTTTGTGTGTGTATGTGTGTAAATGTATGCAGTGCCATAGATGAGTTTAAGGACCTCCGTTAATCTAAATGACCCCGTCCTACTACACTGATCTATGTGTCTGACCTGAAAATTATTGCGGTATATTAGATAAACATAGTATCCCTTCACAGACATAAGTTGTTTCGAAGTGAGTTTATGAATTTGAATGAGACTTATGTTCCCGCTTCCCTAAAATTTCTACGTAAGGTGGTTTCAGAGGTTCCTTATTAATACCGAGCCGGTAGTGATGTTTTATTCGGATTCTGTTCAATACAAATGTGAAGTCAGTCTTTCCGTCAGTCAGTGAGTTCTTCCATTATTATTGTTATTATTATATCCTTCAATTCCTAGAGGAACATAGGGCTTCAGCTGTGCACCTCCACTGCCTTCTGTTTTCTGCCAACTTTTTCACCCTGCTCCAAGTCTGCCCACATGCTTTCATCTCTTCTTCACATGACCTCCTTCAAGTCACCCTTGCACTGACGACCAACTCGCCGCTTCCCACTATGTCGGGTTCCACTCGAGGAATGGCTTGTCTAGTGGTGTCACTTGATGGTTTCCTCAGAGTTTGGCCAATCCAATCCATCCCCATTTCTTCCTGGTTATATGTTGCACAATCGGTTCCTGGTTGGCTCACTCATTACCAGAGATCCCTGTTGCTGATCTTTTCTGACCGGCCACCCGATCTTGAGGATTGAGCCAAGAAAACTGTTAATGAAGGTCTGTAGCTTGTTTGAAATGCTCTTTATGACGCGCCATGTCTCTGATCCGTATAGTAAGTAGCACTGAATTCACATTGGAGTTGAAAATCCGGATTTTACTTTTGATGCTGAGTGATGTTGACCTTCACACAGACTTGAGAGTAATGAAAGCCTGCCTTGCTTTTCCGATCCTTCCTTTGATATCCTTGTCAGTTCCGTCCACCTGTAGTTGAAACGATTCTTCCCAGGTAGGTAGGTGAAGGAGGTTGTTTCTTTCAGGTTCCTCCCATTTATACTGGCTGATTGTTGTCTGTTGTTGTTGTTGCTGTTGCTGTTGGCCAGGAATCTTCATCACCTCTGTTTTATCTATGTTCACTTGAAGTCCTATCTTTGATGCTTCTTCTTTGGCCAACTTCTTGCTTTTCACTTGCATATATTCCAGTTTGTGGGAAATCAGACATACGGCTGCGAAACTTACACTGCGCAAACGTCAAGTAAATTATTTCCAAAAAAGTCACAGCAGACTTTCATCAACATAAACGCCCACCTTGCTGGCTGGTTCTTTACAAAAAATCAAATAGCCAGGCGTCCGGCCGGTTAGCCAGCTACAAAGAATTAGTGACAAGAAACTCTGTCTGTCAACAAACCAACCAATAGCCGATTTTTTTTTCCTTCACGTTCTCCAGTGGAGCATAGGACTTCAAGCTAGTGGCTTGAAGTTTCTGCAGAAGTGTGTTTAATTTTACAGGATGGGGTTGCTAGCCAGCCTCATGCCCAACCTTTCCTCTTTACCAGCTTTATTTCTGGCTTAGCGAGTTAAAGAAGTGCATTGGCGGCCGGGAATCGAACCCCAGACCATGTGCATGGTCGGCGAGCGTCCTAACCGCTATACCACTGACGCACAATAGCTGATTGCTCAACAATTATGTAGGAAAAAAATGTGGAGGGATAGAATGGAAATACACCATTGAGGAGGCCGTTGAGCGACATTGCACGCAATGCAGGTGATTGCTCGAGTGAAATCCAAATATGAAACGGCGACGAATGGGTGGTCGGTGTGAGGGTGACATGGAGGAGATGGCGTGTCGAGGAGGGGGAGGAAGAAGAGGAGAAGATAACAGATTACCGGCAATTGTTGATCCAGAGAGCGGAAGAGGATGTCAGAGAATTGAAGAAAGTGAAGCTGTGTTACACTCGGTACCGAAGAGAATAATAAATAGTGATAATTGATGTTTCGAATTCCTTATTACGGATGTTGTCATCTTTCTATGTATATTCGTTATTCATATTATTATTACTACTACTGTGCGTCGGTGGCACAGTGGTTAGGACTCTCGCCGACCATGCACATGGTCCGGGGTTCGAGCCCGCACCGACGCACATCTGATATCTATGGTCGGCCTGCGAAATTTGGGCTACCGATATCCATGCTGAAAATTCCATACTTGTACCGAAAATACAATGTGGAGTCAAGCTGTAAATCAAAAAAAAAAAAAAATACTTTTTATATTCTTTCTGATTAATTTGTTGGAGTAGTTATAAGATTTCAAAGCCTCCAGCCGTAGATTTTCATTGCTATTATTTAGTTTTTTTTTGTACTTACTACTTAAACACTTTACTAATCGTATTTTCAAAAAAGAAACATGATATCGCTTTGCCTCTAATTGTAATCACCGGTATATGTATACATATATGATTACTTACACAAGATGAATTCCACACCAAGGGTCGAAAGCGAATTTCTGGAACCGAAATTATTGAGAGAGCAAATCAGGAAAGTAGAAAAAGGCAACTAACTTACTAAAGAAACTAAGAGAAAAGGGTTAGATTTCATTAACACTTCAATGCTTCTCTAACTGACACCAATCCGTGGTAAAACTCGTAAAAACAAATGTAGTCCTTATAAACCAACTATTGAAAATTAATCTGATGCTTGCTAGTGACTTCCTACAGAACGGTGTGTCCTGGAGTTCTAGGGAGAAGTCGTGACCAGTATTGTCCATCCAGCCAAGTATGAGGATAGAGTTCCATGCGGTGATATTGTGGTTAGTGATTTTGCTACAAAATCACGAATTGGTAGATGTTAGAGTTCATGCTTTGGCCACTGAATCGGGTCCCATTGGCTGAATGGTATACGAATTAGCTTGTCTTGTGACCGAAATGCCCTGGATTCGAACCCTGGTGGTGAGTGCATACTACCGATGATTGCCAAATTAGGATGAAATAGCTTATGGTCTAGTACTCCGTGTGGATGGTTTTCAATGGTTCTCTAACTGATATCAATCCGTAGTTACACTTGTATAAATATATAAAAACCTGAAAACCACAAGTGGTACCATTTCATTCATGTATGGTCTGTCAGTAGTACATCAATGAAGAATGTCACTTTCTTATATACTAGGCATTTCTAAATCATCTTATCACAAGAATACAAAGTGTTTTTAGTGGTTCAGTTACTTCCTCTTATGCATGATTAATTAGTACTTTCAGGTTCATTGGTAAAATATTCGTCATAGGTAAATAGTAAGTCTATAATCATGCTCCCAGTATATTTCCATTTCCCGTTGATTGTTTATGTTATATGTTCATTGTTCCCTTTGGTTTCGAGTGCAATATACAGATTTGACAACGCATCTCCACTTTGTCCTATTCTCTGATGTTCTCTTCACCTAGTCCTGCGATTGCTTATAGTCTCTCATCTCCTGCTCACGCAATCTTCACTAAGTCACTATCGGATAAAAGCTCGACTCGTCTTTCGTTTCCCATCCGGGTTCCATTCAAGCGATGACCAGGTGTACAGTGTCATTCGACGGTCTCTTCCTCAAGTATTACCCAATCCATCTACATTTAATTCAACGCATTTGATATAATTACTCGGAAGTGACTATATATTATTATTATTGCTCCCTTGGGTTCCTAGTGGAACATAGGGCTTAAACTGCACGTCTCCACTTGCTTCTGTCTTCTGCTGTACTTTTCGCCTGCATCCATGTTAGTCCATATTCTTTCAACTCCTCTTCACACGATCTCCTCCATGTCACCCTTGGACGTCCCACACGCCGCTTCCCTTTCGGGTTCCACTCGAAGGCTCGGTGCGCGATGTCACCCAGCGGTCTCCTCAGCGAGTGTCCGATCCATCTCCACTTTCTCCTGCATATTTGTTGGTTGGGCGATTGGTTCTTGCTTTGTTTGTTCCCATAATTCCTTGTTGGTGATTCTTTCCGGCCGGCCATCTGATCTTCAGTATAGAGCGAAGACAGTTGTTAATAAAGGTCTGCAGCCTTTTGGAAATATTCTTTGTGACCCGCCAAGTTTCTGATCCGTATAGAAGAACTGATTAACTTGACGTTTGTATTGAAAATCCGAATTTTGTTGTTGATGCTGAGTGAGTGACGAAGATTTCCAGATTGATTTCAGGTTGATGAATGTGTTTCTCGCCTTCCCGATTCTCGATTTGACATCCTCGTCCGTTCCGCTTCCTGTAGTTGAGACAATGCTCCCTAGATAAGTGAGTGAATGAAGTAACCTCTTTCAAATCCCTCCCGTTGATGGTGATTGACGTTGGATGTTGCTGTTGTTGTTGGTTGGTTATTTTCATAACCTCCGTCTTGTCTATGTTTACCTGGAGTCCTGTCTTCGCCTGCTTCTTCGACCAGTTTGTCGGTTTTCGCTTGTAAGTCTTCGATTGTGTGTGACATCAAACATAAATCATCCACGCGCGAAATCCAGGTCTTCTAGGTTCTTCACGTCGGTCGGTCCAGGATATTCCTGTCTTCTCGTTTCCCACTGTCTGACGCATAATCCAGTCAGTCCACCACAATTAGGAATATCATTGGTGATAATAAGCAGCACCCTTGTCTGACTCCTGTGTTTACTCCAAACGCCTCGCTGAGTTTTCCGTTGTGGATCACTTGACAGGTGCCGTTGTCGTACAGCTGTTGAATAAGGTTGATGAATATTTGGGGTACGCCATAGTACTCGAGTAATTTCCAAATTACTTCACGGTCAACGCTGTCGAAGGCCTTCTCAAAGTCTATAAAGTTGAGGTAGAGGTTTGATTGCCATTCCATGCTTTGTTCTGTGATGATGATGCGTAGAGTTGCAATTTGGTCAGTACATGATTTGCCTTTCCTGAATCCAGCTTGTTCTGGTCGGAGTTCTGTCTCCAGTGCGTCCTTTAATCTCTCCAGGATGATGCGACTCAGGATTTTACTTGGCGTCGATAGGAGCATGATTCCTCGCCAGTTCTTGCAGAGTGAGGCGTAAGTCGCCCTTCTTTGGTAGTTTCACGAGGTAACCTTTCCTCCAGTCAGTAGGCACCTTTCCCTCCTTCCAGACCTTTTGCAATAATGGAGTCAGCATGTCTGCTGTAGTCTCTGGGTCCGCTTTCAGTGCTTCAGGGGGTATTCCATCTGGTCCGGCTGTTTTTCCAGCTTTCAGAAGTTTGATTGCGTTCAAGACTTCAGCTCTCGTTGGAGGATTGGTGTCAACTTGCAGTTGTGTGCGCGCTGTTGTTGGTATTTCTGGACGGGTTGCAGGTGATGGTCGGTTCAAGAGTCCTTTGAAGTGATCCGCCCATTGTTTAATCTGTTTTTCTTCCTTGGTAATTGGGTTCCCTTGGCTGTCTTTTATAGGTTTCGCTTGTGTTGATCTCTTCCCGGATAGAGATTTGGTTATCTGATATAGTGTCCTCAGGTCCCTTTTGCCTGCTGCCTTTCAGCTTCAGTGGCGAGGTTGTCGTAGAATCGTCTTTTGTCCTTCCTAGCACTCTTCTTCACTTCTTTGTCCAGTGCTGTGTAAGTTGAGCTCAGCGTCTCCTTCTCCTGTCCGTCCTTGCATTGAATCATTTTCTCTTTCACCATTCTCCTCTCTTCTATTAATTTCCAAGTGTCCGTTGAGAGCCATTCCTTGTCTTGTCTCTTCTTTCTTCCTAGAACCGTTGAACACGTTTCGTTGAGAATCGCCTTCAGAGACTTCCAATGTTCTTCCACGCATGATTCTTCAGTGCTGTCGCGTAGTGTTTCCTGCTTTGCTCTGACAGTTGCAGTGAAAGTGTCTTTTGTGGTTGTGTCCTTCAGTAATTGAGTGTTGAACTTGCATTGTGGCCTATCCCCAGCTATCCTCGAGGCTTTTAGTTTCACCTTGAAAGTCCCTTGTACTAGATAGTGGTCTGAACCCACATCTGCTCCTCTCCTTGACCTTGTGTCCAGTAGGCTCCGTCTCCACTTTCTTGAAATTGAGATGAAGTCTATTTGGTTCTTGGTGTTTCCATCTGGTGAAATCCATGTCGTCTTGTGTATATCCTTGTGTTTGAACACACTACCACCAATCACCAAATCATTGAAGGCGCAGAAGTCTGAGAAGAGTTCACCATTGTCGTTCATTTCACCGAGGGCCTCACGACCCATGGTGAGTTCTCTTCCTGTGTTGTCTCGTCCCAGCTTCGCATTCATGTCGCCCATCAGGATTTTGATATCGCCATTTGGGACGTTGTCCATTATTGCTTGTAGTTGTCTGTAGAACGCCTCCTTCTTCTCTTGTTCTGAGACGTTTGTAGGCGCATAGCATTGAATGACTGTAACTTTCCTTCCTTTTGAGTTGAACCTGGCTGTCATTATCCTGGAGGAGATTGGTTCCCACTGCATGAGAGCTTTGGCTGCTGTTGGTGACATCATGATGGCCACTCCCTCGGTGTGCTCGTGGTTGTCCTCTAGGTGGCCGGAATGGATTACTGTCTCTCCAGTAGGTAGTTGGCACCTTCCAGTTCCGTTCCATCTGCTCTCGCAGATTCCCAACACTTCTATTCTGTACCTTCTCATTTCAGCGGCTATCTGGGCAGCCTTTCCAGTTTCGTACATTGTACGAACATTCCAGGTACCCATCCTTACTTTTGCTTTCATCGAAAGAAGGCACATCGGCTGACTGGCTTCCCGAAGGCTTTCACCAGCCTGCGTCATTTCACTTCCCCGATTCCAGCGAAAAGTAAGGCTATTGCTTATGTTTTTAGAATTTTTAATATATTTATTCGTTGAAGTTTCTGTAGCGATTTGGTTGTTTTACAGGGGTGGAGTTGCTAGCACCACGCCCCAACCCTCCCTCTTTACCCGGGCTTGGGACCGGCTAGAAAACTAGTAAGCTAGTAGCCTAGCAAGCTAGTATCTGGCGAGATTAAAAAACCTGGGATTACTGAACAGGTGTTTCGTCCTAGTTTGGGATTCTTCATCAGTACGCACCCACCGTGATTCGAACCCAGGACCTTCTGGTTACAAGGCGAGCTCGTATACCATTAAGCCACTGGGACGCCACTGGTAGTGACTATAGAAGTAAAAAATAAAGGTTGTAAATTACTTAGTACTCAGCAGCACAACGTTAGAAATTTGATGAGGTTAAAATTGCTACTGAGTGAGACGAAAGTTAGTTGAGTGTCAGTTGAACAAGTTATAAGATTTGATAGTGTGAAATATTCCCATATTACGGATTATAAGTCAATCTGAAGGAAGAATATTCTTTTCAATAATTTCTACTCTTCAGGTTCTTACAATTATAAAATACGCAATATTTGTTATCGTTACAATAATGGCCATTTATTGATGCGGTGGATACATTTTTAACGTAGAATAACAGATTAGTAGTTATGGGATGTCAAAATAAATAGTCGTATTAGTGTGACAAACGTGCTCTGAGCTGAAATCGACTACAAAATATTTTGATGAAAGGGGAGACAATGTCGTGATGATTAGTCGTCATAACAGATTTGTAGATTGTAGGGTAGGAAAACTGACTTATCAGTTGTAACGACAACAAATATTGCATATTTTATAATTGTAAGAACCTGAAGTAGAGAAATTACTGAAATGAATATTCTTCCTTCAGATTGACTTTTAATTTAACAAGTGTGAAGAGGGTGTGAAAATATGCAAAAGGAGCATATGAGAGTAATAATAGTGAATTAATTATTAAAGCAAAAGCAAACTAAAAGTGAAATTAAAAAAGAAAAAGAAAATATCAAAAGTTTTTGCAGGGAACGACTAGTGAGCAGGTTAATACCAGGGTAGAATAAGAGACTGGAGAAACGTTTTCTGTATACAGAGTTCAGGGTTGTATTGATGAATTGCCAGCGCCTCTACCGTACACAAAAGCCGCAACCTGACACCTTTTGTACAATTTGGGCTCACCTTCTAGATGATTTTGAAAAACGACTCTGTTGGAGCTATGTAGCCTGAGTTCACTAAATGCTCGAGAATTGAGCTAGTAATCGTCTTGCATTGTTCTTTTGCTAACCATGCTGGATATTTGATCACAGATGCATTTGGAAAGTGTGAGCTTTGTGAGGCCAACATAAGTAGCTCCATATGAGCAGGTGAATTTATAAATACACTTTGAGGTGGCCCAAAGTGGCAGTTTATCCTTCACACATCTACTGATCATTTTTTTTCGGCTGTAGAAATCGAAACGTAGCTCAGCCATGAAGAAGGCTCCTCTCAGTGATCTGCATAAGGGATTCTTCAGGATCTCAGCTGCAGTATCACCTTTAAATTCAAAGCTCATAAATAGCAGTTTCTTCGGCACTGTCTGGATTCTTTCAGGTTTTTCCTTTAACTTCATGTTCTTCTCGATAAATCTTGGTGGATATCCATTCTCTTTGAAGACTTGTCTAAATCGCCCCAGTTCCGCATCAATTGTATCACTGAAAGATATCTAAAGCCCTTTTCTGAGTGATTATATCAAATATGCCACCCCCTATTACTCAATAATAATAATAATTTGCTTTATTCCAAAAACAGTACTAATGATACAGCAAGGAATTTCCAGCATTCAGTACAATATTGCATCTAATTTACTCAAAAACGACAACAAAAAAAATTAAAAATACACATTACATAACAGTAATAAAACGATTGTTATAGCAGCTACATAGCAAAATACTGTATACCATACGGAGAAAATATGCATCAAGTACAAAATTGTAGTGATAACAGTAATGCCAACTAAAATAAAATAGCAGAGTAACAATTAAACGATAGAAAGTGTGACACCATAAAATACAGAAAGATGAACGATGAAAAGGTCGATTCACTGTGCTAATTACATAGTAACTTTTAAGTTTCACATCTAACAGAGTCTTCGTCACATAAAGTACAGGCTAAATAGGGTATTGTAGAATTTCTATACTTAGTGGTACGAGCATATATCTTTTTATATTGATTTCTCGTCCACCCTGATGAGACACAAGGGGATAGGTGTGAATAAAGGGGATGCAGAGGGTCTGACAGTATAGCCTTTGCCCATTTTGTACAGGAATGTGTGTGTGTCTCTCGACTATAGTATTAACGAGCTCATGCAGTGGCAGACTACAAGCCCTACTCACTGCATTTAATACTCTTCGTAATATGATATAATCTTTTTTGAGAAGCCCAGGAAAGATTAATGGAGAGCAATTAATGGAGTACAATAGGTAAAATACAGGAGTTTTAAAATTGCAAAACTAAAGGTTGGTTGATACCTGATTGTCTTAACTTTTTAATGTAGAAGGTAAGACGAAACATTTTCTTAGAGATAGATAAGATATGGGATGACCATGAGAGGTCAGAGGAAAGAACTAATCCAAGGTATTTAATGCTTGACTTGGTTTCAATTTCCGTGCCATCTATGCTACAGGGATCATTCGAGCTAACTAGTTCGTGTAAGTCACGTTGATGCTTGAAAGTAAAGTCAAGTGCCTGACATTTGGAAGGATTTAATATAAGACCATTTGACTTGTACCAGTTGTTGATGTCCAACAGAAAGTTATTAAGTTTGGAGCTGTCAGACTCGGAAGTGATAGGCAGTGAGTGATACAGTCAGATCATCTGCATATTTGACAAAGTTAGTTTCGTTTAAATAGACCACTATACACTTTGGTAAGTATAAATTCAACATATTTATTGAGCAATAGGTTCTTATTTGGTTTGTTCCCCACCCAGAGTTTCTTTTTATTTGCTATTTATTTCACGTCGTCTATCTGATCTGCAACATGGAGCCAGTGAGGTTAGCTGTTGATAAAAGTCTGCTGTAGCCTGTTAGAAACGCTCTCGCTAACACGAGTAGTAAGTTTCTGACTTCACATTTATGTTGAACAGAATCCTAACGAATCTTGTTTTTTTATTCTAAGTTTAGAAAATTTCCAAAGTAGTATCAGTACCTTTCCAATTCTGGCTGTGTATGACGTCCTCATCTATATAGTCCACCTTTAGTTAAATCTAGGCTTCCTAGATAAGTAAAGGAGGTGACGTCTTTCAAATTTATTCCTTTAGTAGTGATCGGTGCTGTCTGTTGTTGTTGTTGGTTGGTTGGTTGATTGATTGATTGATTGACTACTCATGTTGGACTTAAATGTTTGGTTTCTGTTCACACGTCGGCTCCAAGTACGGACGCTTCGACGATTTCATGAAGTCATTTGACTGACTTTGTCTGCTAACAGTGGAATACAAAAGTGAATGTCTCATCCTACTTCAGGTTCATCAGCCTGATAAGCGAGGACATTGTCAATCTCTTGGGATACAAGAATATACACCTTTTAAAACAAGCAATAAAGGTTAATAAAGCAGGAGGATTTAATGATGGATTCATCATCAAATTTCGGTAGAACTCGTCACCTGCTCACTACTCTACATACACGGATATGCGCATATACTTTTGAAATTACATTGGGAGATATAAGACTGATAAGTAAACAAACTACATTGAATTAGTCATGCAGAAAGACACGCGTGAATGTTTTCCAGGTCATGATCAAATAGATAAGGGGAGAGAGAGTATGAGAGATCAAAATTAAGATAAGTTGCATTACGCTCCAATTACATCACTTAGATAAACAATTAGTCATGAGAGAATAAAACAAGAATTACAAACAGAGTAATATTAATAGTAATAGTTACAATAACAATAATTATAATAATAGTGTTGAAGTGAGTTAAGATAATCCTACTGAAAAGGGATAGTTTTAAATAAATCAATAATAATGAGGTAGAATAAAATGCATAACTTATTATCATGGTAGATTTGGGGTGATGACCATATCCTTTTGTACACAGAGACCTGATTTTTAAACTCGAACTCCACAAGCCTCCTCCCAAATTGCAGGCATCTTCTTGTTTCTTTGTCTGTCTTCTGATAACAGTGAATGACTTGACCACGTCGATATCATGTATCCGTAGTCCACAAGATGTTTTGTTATTGAGGATTTTGTCACTTTTTACTCAGCTGTTTTCAACCATTTTGGCAAATGATGCATCATGCAAGTAGACAGTCGCCTTTCTGTACCACCTATGTATTTGCTTCCACAAACACACTCAAAGTGATATACGCAATTTGAAGTGTCGAGGATTGGTGACTGGTCTTTCCCAGATTGTTGAAGCACTCGCTTAGTGGTGTTAAGGATAACAAGTTTTCCAAGTCTTTCTGTATGATTAATTCAATGTAGTTTGTTTACTTATCAGTCTTATACCTGGCAATGTAATTTCAAAAGTATGTATATCCGTATATGTAGAGTACTGAGCAGCTGACGATTTCTACCGGAATTTGATGAATCCATCATTAAATCCTGTTTTATTAACCTTTATTGTTTGTAAAAAATTCGTATCGGGAAATAAATGTTTTCAACATACACCTTTTGATTCCCAAATAGGACGAAGGGCACTGATATGTATCCACATGATGTGTGTGTGTTTTGTTTTTGACAGTCTATTATATTTTGCTATGTGTATATGGATCGATATTACATTATAAATAACATTATGCTTTTGTCTGTCCATTAACTAAATAAACAATGTATGACCTTGTTGTTACATGACATTACAACTAATCATGTTGAGACTGTCTTAGTGGTTCATGTGTATTAGCCATTTTTAAATATACTTTTGTATTCGACACTTGTTCATACTGACTTGTTCCCACGTTTCGTACACTAAGTACCATTTCACTCACACACACACTTGTGTGACACTTACTTTCCTTGTCTTGAAAATATGAGTATCACCTAAAACCTTGTGGTCTTCTGACCTCCCTCTTTCCGTGTCAGGACTATTAACTACTCGACGAGCAGTACATCACATAATTGGCGACGAGGAAAACTCGATTAACTCACTCAGCAGCAGTACACAACAGGCACCTGCTAGATTTCACTG